TACAGATGATATAGAGATATACTCTGAACTCTTAAAAACCAATGTTAGGTTGTTTGAGTTAATTATTTCTTTTTTATTAGAGATCGGCGTGACCAGGTTTTTTAGTCAACGATCACGGTCACGATCATATCTGTGAGGAATTTATGGATTCTGTAACAGTTACAGTCGTAGACATTAAAAGACGTTAGTAAATAACGACCCAGGATGAAAATTACGGAGAGTTTCTCTCAGAAAAACACCGGAAATCGCTGGAGTAGGGAGAAATATTTGAGCCGGAAACTTTCTGGACTCTTCCGAAAGATTTCGATCTGCTTCCCTGCGTTTTTCAGCAACAGCTGGCCGGAAAACTTCGGACCGGAAGACTCATTTCAATATTTCTACGATTTTCCTGGTTTTTCTACAGGATACAGTGACTTTTCCAATATTTCGTGCCGATTTCTATGGTATCCGTCCATCGAAATGATTGATTCGAAGTCTACCGATGATTATCGCAATAAAAGATTTTTGATAAAACAAGATTGGCTTATAAAAATCGATTTAAATCTTATGATATTCTTTTTTGATATATATAAAGAACTGCGTGATTCAGATTTTTTAGTCACGGTCACGTATGACCGTGACCGTGACCGTGACCATTTTGCAGACCTCTACTTTTTATCCTTGCTCGTATGCCAGTATCATTTTATTAATCATAAATTATCGAATAAATACAAAATCAACATTTAGAATTATGAAGAAACAACTTTAACCTCTTCTATATCTCTATATGTCGCACCCCTGTGCATATCAGATTTCCAGAAAAGTCGTAAAACGCATCTAATTTGTAATCCTTTGTAATCTCTAGTAATTCTTGGCAATCTCTGGTGATTCATCCTAGTCCCTGACAATTCCTGGTCAGTTCTTCTGAACCCTGGTCCTCACTAATGAATCAAGTCAATAGAATTACTAATATAAATCGTATTGAAGCTTCAACTCAGAATCGATATAAATCTGAATTATTTTATAATTCATTTACGTCATGGACTCATTATTTGGTGAAGTTGAATTCAGAGATCCAGATTAGTTTTATTTATTCATTACTACACGCATTTCTTCATTAGGATGTTGTTTTCTCTGTGAATTCTTTTGTCAAGTGTCTCTTTCTTGTCAGTCCACTCGCAAAATATATCTGTTTCGTCTGTAACAATACACGATGGTTATTTTTCAATTATAACGAAAAAGTGGGGTTTTGATGAAAGAAATAAAAGAATTTCACTATATAAATCGTTTTGACTTGCTCAGGAATCCTTTGAACACAGTTTTGATGGATAAACTTTGGCACTGAAAAAGACTTGAAAAAATCCTGCTGAGTGCGTTGCCACAATACTTCAGTAATAACTCTTTACAGAGACAAGCTTGCGCAAAAGAAAATTCCACGGTTACCAAGCCTATCATCTTAGTTGCAAACTCATATAAAATATTTTCCTTGAAGCGCATAAATTCGTAGGAATATAAACTTCTTTGCATGGATCTCGCGAGAAGGGGCCTTTTGAATGAGTGTGTGACCACGGTTTCCTGAACCTCTAAAACAGCCATAGTACAATCATATGAAGTCAAATTTTCAGCAGAGGTAGATCTTCCAGTTACCTTGTGAAACTATGAATTTTAGCTCTTTGCGACGTACGACTCTTGAGTTATAGGAATCAAAAGGTCAAAAATGGGTGAGTGCGTTACCTGTGGACAAGCTGAGTCGCAGATTTTATTGAAAATATTGAAAAGAAAAGAGAAAAAAATTCTCTAAGAAAATCAATATTCACATAATTATTGATGATTGATTAATATTTGCGTCTATTGAGGGTGTTAATATGCATAAATAAAGTTATATATATCTGTTGCATTGAAAATAAATCTATTTCACAAAAAAAGTATCTAAAATCTTGATACTATTTCAACAAAGATTATATTAAATGGACAATAATAATTAAACGAACATTTTATGTACGATTGATATTTATTTCTCGCTGTAGAAAAGACAAAAACGGACGAGATTCATAATGAGAAACAAATAAAAAAGTCTCTTATTTGTGCACGATATTTGATATGTTTATCAAAATAAAGCGAACGAATAGAATTTAAAATTTATCGAGAATAAGAATATCTAACCTTTGATTACGATTTGTCTCTTTGATATTGATGATCTGGAATTAATAATATTGATCTATTATAGTGATGTTCACTGTTTTGATAATTTTCTCAGAGAAAATCTATTTCAAATGATTAATCGATAAATAATTACATTTTATTCATGTCAATAAATCTACGAATTATTTTCTGTACAGATGCAATTCATAGATTGTCCAAATAGAATATTTTATGTTCATTCTAATCAAAAACAATAACTCTGAACTATTCTTGTGTAGAAATGACTGAATACCCTACAGATGTCAATATTTATATTTACTTGAATATATTGATATGACACGAGATTTATATTCAAGGTCAAACAAGAATTTCTTTAATTTTGTTTCTTATCGAAAATACTCTTCTCGCATTTGAAATGCTAGAACAATGTTGACTGATATATCAATAAAAACAAGAATCAAATAAAAATATATTGAAGAATGTCGACAAATTTATCATAATAGTTTAATAAGTTCTAAATCGTTAGAACTTCGTAAATTAGAAGATGAATTTTTTTACTTTGATGAAAATTGATCAAGTATTCGATGCAATCATTAGTCATACAGGGGTTGTCAAAATTATAGACCCCCCTCATATGTACATAGAAAAATGTTTATTTTATTACAATAAGGAATGATATTGATCTGCTAGGTGCACATCTACGTGANTTTTTGTGGTTTAACACTTTGTAAAACAGATAGTCTTTCACAGCATATCTATATTAAGTATATTCAATGATCATTTCATTTTCTTTTGTTCATTCTACACTTTTTTTTTATTTATCGTAGTCATATTCATATATTCAAATATGAAAATATCAAATATTCACCAATAACTTTAGGTTATACTCGTATTGGTCTTGGTGATCCTAACAAAAATTCATATTTCTTTAAACATTGTCGATTACATAATGGACCGACAAGTTGTTTTCATATTGTACAACAATACGATGAAAAAATGATCCATGACGGCTGTTATTCTGGCAGTACTTCATTGGAAGAAATGGAAGATCATGTTTATATGTCGGATCAATCATTATTATCTGAAAATTCAAAAACAAATCGAGTATTGATGAGTAAAACAAATAATCTTATACCTAATTTCGTTGAAAATTTTCTCCGAATTCAACAGCTTATCTTTAATAATTAGTTAATTATAAATAATGAAGCATGATTCAATAGGATAAATTTTGCACAAGATGTATAAAAAACAACTGATATAGTTGTTTAATAAATCCTTTTTCTATGATCTTAAAAATAAATCATTGAACTAAATCATTGGTCTTGATTTGAATTGTAGGTAATATAAAAATATCATTCGCTAAAAGAAACTATCTATCAGCTTGATGAATCTATGATTAAAGATAAAATTTCTTGAGTCTTTCTCTCTTTCATTTATATGGACGAAAACCTCAACGACATATGTCATACTAAACTAGTATTATTACTATTATTCATATGATTAAACACAAAGATTTCAAAAAAAAAACAATAAATATTGGATTACTCGAGGCAATTATAAACATAGTAAAGTCTGAATTAATGATCTACATCAAAGGTTTCAATGGCCTGGGTCAAAGACATTCAGTTTATCGATCTTTGGCCTGACTCGTCCATGGATCACTCATCTAATTGCATTATATATAAGTTTTTAACCTATGAACGAGAAAGCATATTTCAAGTATCAGTAATTGATTTATAAACAAATGTTCGGTAACATATTTAACAATTTGCAAAAATTTTCAATTACCGCGAATTCACTAGTATTTTCTGAATATTTTAGTTAGAAAAACTTAAATATAAAGTTTTTTTCAGGCTACAACAATGTTATCTTTTTCTCTGCTTTACTTCATATATTTCTTGTTCATTGCAAAAATCTTTTTGTGATCAAGATTCGACTCATAGGCATCCATCATAATATCGAATTAGTCCAGCTCAATTTATTCAGACATCTGATCTATACATAACGGCAGACAACCATACATAATGTCATTTAGAACCGTGCATGACGTACAAAAAAAAATCTGTTTTTTTTTCTTAATGTCTACAATATTCTTATATTTTCATAAAATATAAAACCTCATCGTTCAAAAGATCATTTCAGAATAAGTAAATATGGTCTAATATGCTTCGAAATTGATTTATTCTTCCTCGAAAGAATTCATAAAAAAATGTTTGATAAGAGATATGATTATATTAAAAGTATACTAACTTTCTTTTTTACATATCTTACCTGTCCTTGTTTATAAATAGTTACTTTGATAATAGTAAACTTGTATACAATATTTTTATATTTATTGTGATCACAAAAACAAAAATCTATAAGACAGTTTTTAATTTAACATTTCATTAAGTTTCTTTTGAAGATTTTCATTGGAAATTCGTTATTTATTGTTTGGTACACGTGGAAAATGACATAGATTGTATTGTCAACAATACACAAAAATCTGTGATAATTGTCGACCATGATTATTATAACATTTTTTCTTATATTCATATACTCAATAGTCTACACAGATTTTTTTCTGATTTCAGAAAAATATTCAAAAGGTACAATTCTTTAAATAATTCAATTACTGTTTAATTCGAAAGCGAATATTGATTGAATTTAGATTTGTAAACGATAAAAATTCAAATAAAATTTTTTGATTAGATTGTGACAATTATATTATTGAAACAAAATCATACATCAATCATTTATATTGGATTTTATATTAAGACTAATTCTTTAATTAATCAGTACTTATTTTACTTTGACGATTAGTAAAAATTTTTATATTGATTTTCATATTAATTTATAATTAAACTTAATTCAAACGGATAATGCCTCATTTAAATTTTATGAAAATCATTTTTTATCTACACGTTATATCACTCGTAATTATCGTCATATTCGTTAGCAGAAATTCAAAAAACAAATATTTTTTTTCTGTTGTTGTTAATTTAACAAATTCACGTTCTCTGAATTCAATATTTCGTCATGAAACTATTAATCAACTTTCAGCAAGTTATTCATTTATCCAAAACAATTCATTTGATCAATGTCAAACGATATATCCGTTAACTGAAGATCAAAATTTAACTTTTCGTAAAATATCTGATCAACTTATTACACTACGTACACAAATAATACCTTATCCTAGTGAATATTTTCATGGTCGATGGATCGTTCTTACTACTGGATTGGGACAGTTAAAATTTGCAAAAGTCAATTTAAAATTGCTCGAACTTACGGGTACTCGGTTACCTGTTCAGGTAATTTTCATTAATGTTTACTTCTATTTCGAAAAAATAATTTCATACCAAAAACGATACTCAATTTGCTTTTATATCTTGTTAAAGTTTTATAAGTAATTGACAAATTATTAAGGCATTTTTATTAGGCAATAGAATGTATGTTTTTGTTGAATCTTCAACAAAAAATTAAAGATTTTAACTGTCATTCTCTTTTTTCATAGGTTTGGTATTCATACTCACAAATTTCACATGAAACTATGATTGAATTACTTCATACTGCACCTAACCTTAATGCAAGTATCTGTTGCTTTATTACGGCTCAATGTCGAACTCTGACACAAATATGGCAATTGAATGATACTCATATTTATAAGCCTCCTTCAACTTATCTTCGATTTAGATTTTTTCCATATAAACCAGCAGCTATTGTTAGTGCTACTTTTTCTGAAGTACTATTTCTTGATTGTGATGCTTTTGTTACACGAGATCCAGAAGAATTATTTATTTCTGATCCAATGTATCTCAAATTTGGTGCACTTTTCTATCCTGATGGTTACAAAAGTAGACAGCATCCAGCTGTTTGGACTCTGTTTAACACAAGTTGTGCTCAACATGAATACGAATTTGATAGTTCAATGATATTAGTTGATAAAAGACGAGTATGGAATGGACTTTATTTAACAAAATTAATGAATGATCATTATCGCATTTTCTATCGAGTATTCTATTATTTTTTATTATGTAAAAAAGAATAGAATATTATATTTGATTTATTATAGCATGTAACTGATGGAGATAAAGATACATTTCGATTGGCTTTTCGTTATATGCAAATCAAATATTATTTAGTAATGACACCATGTTCTGTAAGTTATCAAATATTATGATTTCATTTATCAACTTGTTGTTATATTTTATGTTGTCAGACTGGTTCATTTGATGGTACTCGTTTTTGTGGTTTAACACTTTGTAAAACAGATAGTCTTTCACAGCATATCTATATTAAGTATATTCAATGATCATTTCATTTTCTTTTGTTCATTCTACACTTTTTTTTTATTTATCGTAGTCATATTCATATATTCAAATATGAAAATATCAAATATTCACCAATAACTTTAGGTTATACTCGTATTGGTCTTGGTGATTTTTATAACAATTCATATTTCTTTCAACATTGTCAATTATATAATGGGCCGACAAGTTGTTTTCATATCTTAAAAAAACATAATGAAAAAATGACACAAGACAATTGTTATTACGGCAATATTTCATTAGAAGAGATTGAAGATCATGCTTATATGTTGAATGAATCATTAGTATCAGAGAAATCAAAAAACAATCGAGTATTGATGAGTAAAACAAATAATTTTATGCCTAATTTCGTTGAAAATTTGATCAAATACTTAAAATGAATTTCTTCTCCCAAATAAATCAAAAACAAATAAAATATTCACCAGTCTAAATATAAGTATACATGATAGAATTAGAGAAAACCAATTTGAGTTAAAATTGTTTGAACATTTTTATCATTCTATTCCTTTCGTAAAGTTCAATGTAAAATAAACTAAAATACTGTGAACAATCATAATATCTTTGTAGAATGATTGTAAATAGATGCATGTTTTAAGATGTGTCACCTGCCTTTTTCTTCTTTCACTTAATCGCTACATATCCATAAGCGTTGCTTCTATTGTTTGTAAAGTGCGTTCAAACGAAAAAAACTGATGATGCGACATACAGTTAACATCACACTTCACCGTTGATTTCCTGTGTGTGCAAGTTTTTTTATGTTTCATTGATCGTCTTCCTTTTTTATTTCTTCTTTACCGTGAAAACATTGTCACCGGAACTTGCTAATTATTCGCTCACCTGCATTACACGAGATACAATTTTCGTTTACCATTTTTCGATTCTCTAATTGGAACGATAGTATGATCATAAACAATAACATAGGCGGTAGATAAATAACCTTTTCTACTATTGTATTATATTCCAACAAAAGAAGAAAAGTAGCAAAACAAATAGTTAGCTTTGCTCGAATGCATTTACTGATGATAATGAACATCTTTGGAAACGATCATCTGTTGAAATCATTGATTTGGATAAAAAAGAACCAAATTATTAATCGACACAGCCGCTCAACATTTTTCTCTATAATCAATAAAACAACAACAAAGACAAGTTCGACATTCTTTCATCTTGATTTCTATTCATAAAAATGCTGTTAACGCAAGACGAGACGCCGGTGATTTGTCTTCACATTGATCAAACTTCCGTTTTTGTTTTTGTCTTTTATACTTTTCACTTGACCATAAGTGAACAACAGACATATCTTCTTCATCAGAAAAAAAAAAGAAAACTACAATTAGATCAAAACTTTAGGAGAGAAAAAAAGTGCGTGAGAAATAGTTAATATGTTGGTTAATAGATGATGACTTTTAGTGGATCGCACATCCTTTGATCTATAAGAATTTAAATAAAGAAGAAGAAGAATGACCACGCAATGACAATGAGCAGAAATTAATCGGTGTTGATGAAGACGACAACAGACGTAAGATGGATCGAAATGTGTACGTGCTTTTCATTGTAGACAAAAAGTGTCAGTTAATGTTTAGCTAAAGAGCAAAAGAGAAACGAAAGAATAAATGAGTTAATTACTCGCGATTTTTTTTTTTTTTCTTTTAAATATTGACAAAGTTTTGTGATAAAATATTGACGGCAAATTTTATATAAGACTATTTTTCGAAGGATAAGAATAAACTTTATTCTATTATGTTGTTATTCGATCTAATTTAATAGAAAACTATTGATTGATGTGTTAACAAGAGAAAAAAAAAAGTAGCCACTGTCGTTTCTTCCTCTCTCTTTCTCTCTCTCTGTTCGTGTTTCTGTTTGAATAAGAAAGAAAAAAAAGAGGAAGAAGAAGAGAAAGTGTTAATGAACAGTTTTGTGATTGTTTTCTCTTGTGTTGAATGTTGTTGAATAGAAAAAAGAATTGTTCACAAATGAAAATTTATTCATAGATATTAATTGGCACGTGTTAATGAAAAATTAAAGAATAAAAAAAATAAAATGTTTATTTATAATTTAATATTATTATTTATTCTTATAAAAAGTTGTTTATTAACAACATTAACAAAAACTTATTCAACAATTGATTTAAAAGAAAATATTCCAATAAATACAAATATTTTACAATTAACAAAAGAAATACAAAATTTGAAATTAATTTTATTAAATTTAGGTGGATTTGAAACAAATTTATTTTCAATAAAAAATGAAAATTTATTTACAATAAATGAAATTGATCGTGAAAAATTAATTGGTGAAAAAAGATGTTTTGATCGTTCATATTGTTTAATTGAACTTCATATACTTGTTAATGATGGTGAACAATATTGGGTTATACCAATACATATTATTGAGTAAGTTTTTTCATTTTTATTTATTAACTAAAATTCAATATTATCTACGACAAACCAAACTCTATCAATAGTTATCGATTTAGATATTTCTAATTGTTTGATTAATTTCTACACAAGTCGTTTGAAAAAAAAAATGTTTCGCTCTCAAAATATAAAGATTTTTCTAAGATTTTTATTGCCAAAAAAGGACTTTTTTTGTGAGAGCTACATCTCATTATGGATACATTATTTTAGCTTGAAATATTCAGTGTACATATATCTGAGATTTATTTGTCATTTTTCCGTTATTTTGTGAATGAATCACTTTAAAAAGATAAAATTTTGGTCAAAGAGAGATCTCAATAAATACTAATTTCAGTAAAAATTTCAGATTTTTAAATAGCTCTTACCACCTAGGAGATCTTCGCTAAAATGATGATTTTATGAGGAGTCGATCTAGGGAGAATTTTGTCTATAGAAGCGGAGTTTTATGGTTTAAAACTAGACATTGAGTATTATACAGTCCTGTAAGAATTCGTCTCAGATGTCATATAATAGTCTGCGGAATCTTATCTAAAGTGAGCCCCGAAATCAATCCATTTCCATGTTTTATGTAGTTAAATTGTTCAGAAATTAACGGAAAGATTTTTATATATGAAACAATTTTTAATCCAATATAAATCATCACATGATCCTTTATTAATTGACATATATAACTTCTCTGAAAATGAGAATATTTTCTTAAATTTTCCGTATTCCTTCCTGAGTTTAAGAGTCAAAAATTTGTTGTCATTTTTCAGAGAATTTATATATATCAATTGATAGAGAATCGTGTACAGATTTATACTAGATACAAAAAATTATCGGATGTGTAAAAACTTTTTTATTAATTTTTAAACGATTTGACAATATGAAACATGATAAAGAGGTCATTTTTGGGTTTCCTTTTAATAAGACTCTGCAGACTATTCTATTGCATTTCAGATTGATTCTTGTAGTACTTTGTATGTAGTTTAAAACTATACAATTCCAATTTCTATAGATAACATGTTCTTTCGGATTGGTTTCTCATAAAACTATGATTTTAGTGAAGATCTTCTAAGTAACAAGAGCTATCTTGAAGGCTGAAATTTTTACGACAATGTATATTCATTAAGGTATCGCTCTTATGATAAAATCTCAACTTTTTAACGTGATTCATTTATGAAATATAGAAAAATGAATAATTTTTTTTTCTTGTGTTATCTGATAGTAGTAGTCGGTAACTCATCAATGTTTAACTGATTTGAACTCATTTTTTTAATACTAGGTACTTAAATCTGACATAAATTAACATTGAAATAATCAAGTCAAACAAATCTATTCATGATGAGATAGAACTTTGATAAAAAGGAATTGCAAAACAAGTGTGTCGTTTTTGACGAGAATGACCATAGAAAAATCTTTATTTTTCGAGAACAAAACAATATTTTTTTTTCAAACAATTTGTATAGAAATTCATCAAATACTTATCATTACAATATTTATATATATATATATAGAAACAGTGAGATCATTATCCATCGATAGAGTAGAATTAGTCGTAGATTATATGAAATGTGTTTCATTTATGATTATAATTTTAATTATTATTATTATTACTTTTTTTTTGTGTTTTTTTTTTAAATTAAAGTGAAAATGATAATAAACCAGAATTTAAAAATTCTTCAATAGAATTAAAATTTCATGAAAATATATATGGTGGATATAAAATATTATTTGAAGGTGCAAAAGATTTAGATGAAGGTTTAAATGGTAAAATTCGTTATATTCTTGATTGTTCAATAAAAAAAGAAAAATTAATAATAAAAGAAAATAAAAATAAATCATTAATAAATTGTTATCCATTATTTGAATTTGAAATAATATCTCAATCATCATTATTAAATCAATATGATCAATTAGCATTAAAATTTATTCCACCATTATCAAATGAATATATTGAAAATGAAAATGAAAATGAAAATGAAAATGAAAATGGAAATGAATATAATTTAATATTATATGCAATTGATAATAGTTTAAATGATAAAGAATTATTTAATTTAATGAATATAAATATAAAAATTGAAAAAATATTAAAAAAACCAAAATTTTATTTATCTGAATATGAATTTATAATAAAAATAAATTCTTTATTAAAAAATAAAACAATTATTGGTTATGTTAATGCAAAATCAAATGATAAAAAAAATAAAATTTTTTATAAATTAATAAATAAAACAAATTTTATTGAAATAAATTCTTTAACAGGTCAATTATTTATATCAAATGAAAATTTTTTAAAAATAAATTATTTTAATAATTATATTCAATTATTAATTGAAGCATATTATTTAAATAATGAAAATATAAAATCTTTTACTAAAGTTAAATTATATTTTCGTTCAATTAATTATATAAATAATATTTCATTTAATATTAATATTAAATCATTATTTATTCAACAATTAAATAATTCAAATACATTTTTTATTTATAAAAATATTTCAATAAATGAAATATTATTTCAATTAAATATTTTATCTTATTATTATCCATATGATAAATATTTTCTTTTACTTGAAAATTATTCTTCAACATTTTCAATTATTTCATCTTCTAATAAAATAAATAATTTTATTTTAAAAACTTCAAATTATATTATATCAAAATCAATTTATTTATTAAATATTAAAATTAAACATGAATTAACTCAAGAATGGTTATTAACAAATATAACAATTAAATTTATTGTTATTGATCAATTAACAACTTCTATTAATCTTATACAATCATCTTCATCTTTTTTTTTATCAAATATTTGTTTACAAAATTTTACTTATTTTCTTTATGATTTTTATAATAAAAATCAATTTGGAAAATTAAAAGTTATTCAAACAAATTTAAATATTTCAGTTTTTTCAAATTTTTTTATATTTATTAATCAAAATGAAATTATTATTAATGATTGTCGAATGTTAATTGAGCAATTTGATTTAAATTATTTAAATCAAACACAATATGAATTATGTTCATCGAATAATTATTGTTTTAATATTACATTAATTAATCAACAATTTTCAATTTTTTCAATTAAAAATAAAAATAATAATTTTATTTCAAAATCAATTTTATTAATTCGACCTATTGAAATAACAATATTGACTTTTTCAATTATTTTTATTATGGCAACAATAACATTAATTATTATTATTTGTCGATTAAAAGGTTTTCGTCTTTGTTTAACAATTAAAAATTATTTATTTTATGGAAAAAAATATGGTTTAAATAATGCTCAACGTCTTTCATCAACAAAAATGACAGTAAGTTAAACATTTTTCTTGTTTTGTCAAGCACGATCTCAAAACAATCTGAAAGTATACAGATAAAACTTTGAATCTTTCCTTTCTCTTTTCCACAGACATAACTATGAGAATATCATAGACTATGACAATATCAATAGCATCTCATTATAATGCAAAATAACTACCTCCTTACTACATTTGTGAAAGACTAAGTAAAAGGATGGTGAAGCAGTACATCCCACAATAGATAAAATAAAACAATCTTTTTTGTTTGATCAGTAACAATAGCCACTATATTTTTCACACTTTAATCGTACAGAGTTGAGCTCTTCCAGTCGGCACCGACCCTGGCTCTAGTGGGTTCGGGTTCAGGTCCAAGAAGTGGACCCTACCTGCTTTACTGCTAGGATTTGACTAAAAACATTTTTTTTCTTTGCAATGTCATTAATCTGATTATGCTTTTTAAGCAGGGAGCTCATTCAATTGTTGTTCGAGAATCTTCATCACCTTCTTTTGAACACATCAAATCTAGTAAGTCATTCGATTTTGTAACTTTGCTATTTCGAAGAAATATTTTTTTAGAACCATATATGTTTAATATTAATCAAGTTATTGAACAAGACATAATTCCATCAATAAGTTTTTATCCTCAATCATCTTCTCATATACCAATATCATTATCTTGTACATCATCACTTGAACAAGAAGAAAGAACAATGTCCAATGTTGATAATGAAATAACACCTCGAACATCATCATCATCATTTATACAAGAGACAAAACAATTATTAGATATCATATCAATAAATCAGGATTTACATCTATCAACATTAGCTTCTGAAGTTTAATATGTACATTTTTATGTAACAGTTGTTTTCTTCATGTTGTGGTGTTTTTTTGATTGTGTTTTTGTTTCTTTTATAAATAAAATATAAAACCCATTGAAAATGTTAGGAAAATCCTTTATAAAGAACAAATATTAAAATCGATATGAAAGATAAAGAAAGACGAAATATATCATAGAATGAACTAAATCATTAATTTCATAGGTTTTTTAAATTTGCTTTTATTGTAAAGAAGAATAAATGAATAGTATTTCATTTATGAAAATAATTAAAGTAATATGATTGAAGTTGCTACTTTGATTATGGTCAAAATAATTGGACCAGCAATTTTTAAAATTGGTGCACATTCTTTAAGTCGAGTTGACCATGTATTTTTCTTTGCTATTATTGCTCGATGACGTTGTGACTGTTTGATTAGAACTACAGTGAGTGCAGTTGAACTTCCAATTGCAACGATAGTTAAAAAAATAATAACAATTACTTTCGCAGTATGTCGTTCAAGACATGAAACTTCACCATGATATCGATCATCATCATCAACCATATTTCTATTTATTTGTCTCATTTGAAAGATAACGGAAAGTTAAACAAGAACACAAATGATTTTTTTTCTTAAATTAATAATGAGAAAGAAGTTAGTATAATTACCACGCGGGTTTTTTTTCTATTAAAAAGCGAATTTTTAGAATGCTGTGTTTCTTGTTTATTGATCAAAGAGTGTTTCGGTTATATCTGTAAATAATTCTTTGAATGTTGTTGCAATTGAACCCTTGTGTGTTTTTATCCATTTGTAGACAACGCCATCTTTCATAATCATATCTAAAACTTTATTTGCAACATGATGTTTATGTTTAAATTCATTTTTAATATGTTGACGTTTTCGATCACGTTCTGCTTGTTTATGTAAAGTATATATTAATAGAACTGATGTTATTAAAAGAGTAAGTGAAAGAAGACTATTGATTATTATAAACCAATATTGAGCACAACATGATGAATTTTCATGATTATCATTAATCGTTTTTTTGTTATGATTTTCATCTGAAGATTTTGTAGATATAATACTTGTATCACTCATTGCTAATACGAGTTCATCGATAAATTAACAAAAATTGGAAATCAACTGTTTTCAATGAACAAAATGAAGGTAACCTAGACAATAAAGAGGCATACAAAAACATGATAATGCTAGCTCTTATCATGAAAAGTAGATGAAATGAAATATTCAGAACAAGCTTGATAATTTTTGATGTGTTAGAAGCATTTCATATTTATTTTTCTTTCATTGCTATTTTGTCTCTTCTCTATTTTATTCTTTTGTTTTTCTCTCTACTATATTCAATTTCGTATCACATTTCTTTATTTAATTCATTATTGAAGAAATGTAAAACATTGACCAGGATTGAACTAAATCAAAATATAAAAAAAAAAGAGAATAAACAAAGTTTGATATTTGTACCTACATACAATTTATTAGACGAGAAAAACCAAACATTTTTCGTAAGACCATTGTCACATCATGTAAAAACTGCAGTATAACCCTGTCGGAGTCTATGGGTACCTCCATAGGATAGTCCTTGAGAGTCTCGAGATACTCCAATTTAATAGCCCTTGAGAGCCTATGGATCCCCATAAAGAGCCCTTGCGCCTCCTCCTTATAGCCTTATTTGACCTTTAACCTTTGACCTTTAGCTTTCAAGCTGTGTATAGAGTTCTTGTCTAAACTTCTAGAAAGTTCCAGAACATTCTAGAAACTTCTACCAACGTTCACATAATTTTCGAACATTTTTGAAAATACTAGAAACATTAACCTTTAACCTTTAATTTTTGACGTTTACCCTTTGACCCGGCAGAGAAACAGACACACAGACACTGAACATTATATATATATAGATGAACATTATATATATAGATAAGTAAAAGAATAACCGAAAAAAAATAATAATACACAAGTTGTTGAAACTGAGATTTCAAAAATCAGACTCAGACTTATCATATGTATGTTTGCTGAAATCAAAGAAAAAATGTGTTCATAGAAACAAAACAAAATGGATGAATATCTGAAGATGGTTTAGTTTTAGAACAAGATCCAACCTATTATCAATTTTGAAATCATTGACAACTAATGAAAATGCTTGATATGAACGATTGATTGATCAAACATTTTTGTGTTACAAATAGTTTAATTTCTATTTCTTAGAATTCGAACTAATTTGTCATCGAAAGAATTGGCGAACACAATATCAATATGATAATCATCATTGAAATAAATAATAGAAAGTGATAGAAAGATGCTTAGAATTTCAGCTGTAAGAGCTGCTTGTACTTCAAAAATTCTGCTTGCATGCTAGAAAAAAAAAGTTACAATATTTTGATCGTCAGTAATAGTAACAAAAACTAGTCGACTGTAATTATTATAATTAACAACAGTCAGTGCTTTCAATGAGGTAGATAGCTCAATTAAATATCGTATTTTTCCTTGAAGATTCGATTGATTTTTCTAAAATAGGATATTTACAGTTGTCTCTAAACTATTCTCAATCAGAGTATCTAACCAGTTGTGGTTATTGAATTCGGAAATCGCCATCGTCTACAGATAATTTTTTCTCTTGTGTCGAAAATATTTGTTTTTGTTGTAAAGTTTCGTTTCGATTTCTTAGCAATACAACAGTATTAGTATCTTTTTAATTACAGCTCACAATGTCTAAATGATTATCATTATTGAAATCATCAAGATCGATCAATTTCGCTGAATAGGAAGTTCTAATTGGATATTTCATTTTTGATTGAAAATCTCGCTTGTTAATGACAATAAAAGCGGCTACATTTCTTGTCTCATAAAAAAAACCGTTATTAATCCTTCGAACGTTTCATCGCTGTTTCCAAGAAGCTTAACAATATTCTCATTGTAGTATTTATAAATCGCAATAAACAAATAATTATGATCACTGAAGCAAATTACATTAATTGACTTTTAATCATTATTTACATTGTTTAGATATGAAATTATCAACGTTCCAATTGTTATCATTTTTGTTACGAATATCTATTCATAGCTACATCACCAATGAACTGATATATTTCTACTATAATGATATTCAGCATTAGGAACTTTTCTAATATAGTTATCTACTAATATGTTACAAACAACCATGTAATGTATTCAGCTAAATTTTTATGAATGAATTTATAAAAATGCACCAATCTATAAATTCCTTATAAGTATATTGTGTATTAATGGGTTCATAAGCATTCTTCTTATAGGAAACATATTTGTAAAATTGATTGTTAATAAATATTATAGATTGACTATTTTAATAAACACATAGAGAATTAAGAGATCGTTGAACTTCTTTAAAACTGAACGATTCTGATTAATTAAACTTGAACAAAAACCTTTGATTCTTATCTGACCAAGAAAAATAAAGAAAGAAAACAGTGATGACCACTATGACAATCATGAGCATCAAATATTCTAAGCACAATTTTTGAGAGAGTAATTCATTGTAAAGAACAAATGTTTTTTGTAATTAAGATCGCACGAATAATTGCGATTCAAATCAGTATATCTATTTTTCAGTGAGATACTAATGCACCAAAAGTTAATGATTTTATTTTAATTTAAAAATTGATTTGTCTATGCAAAAGAAGAAATAAACAATTAAAAGAAAATAGATCCATTAACATTTATTTCTGTAATTAGTTTGCCAATTAGGTTTTTTTCCGTTTAACAACGAAGAGAAACTGTTGAAAAAAAATAAGCAGAATCATATGAAAGTAGCGTACCCTTTATAAATATTCCTATTTATTGAGATCATGATCGTTTCGTATTTCTCTTTTTATAATCTTCGTTTTCTTCTTCTTGTTATTTTCATAGAGTAATCATTAGAGAGAAGAATCATTTCTATATTTTTCTATTAAGAGAATAACCCAAAGAAAATGTAGAATATTCGTCAAAAAAAAATGTTTTAAAAACAGTGCTTCATATCAAATTAACGTTTTTTGCTTTTCCAACAGACCAAAGAAACGATCAAGTTGAATGCCATTTTTTTCCTTTCTTCAATAGTGAAAAATCTGTTCCAATTAAAAATATAATTTGAAGAGAAAAAAGAGAATATCCTTGACTTATTAATGGAATCATTGAAACAAAAACATGAAATAGATGATAATATATTGATTGAATTGCGTCTGCTGAAATTTCTTTTTCAATGTTCATATGATATAAAATAATCGATTAGAAATAGTAAATTAAGCATTTAACTATCGTTTTTCATTAAGAAATTCAGTCAATCAATTGAAGTTTATCAACAGTATATGACAAATATCATTCTTGCTTTTTTATGAACAGAAACATTTACAAGTAAAACCATTTATTTTTGTAGATTTATTCCTATTCAACAAGCAAACACACAATAAAAAACCAAATGAATTTTCCCAAAAAAAGACAACATTATAAAGTTCGTTTTCATTTTAATTTGATTATGCTGCTTTTCGATGTTTTCCCTTCTTTATATAACTTTGTAAATAAAAATTAGAAAAAAGTAAGAGGATAGATATTCCATAAAGTAAGAACGATATATCAAAAATTTTTGGAAAGCTACATGGTGTGATTAAATTAATACTTGAATGACCAATTACAGCAACAAATTGAATCTATTCAAAATAACATGAGTAATATACTTATTAAAAACAATCGTAATATGAAACTTACAATTTGAGCTTGTGTTAAATAACGTTTCCACCAAAGATATTTTTGTATATGAGATCCACAAGCACTTAAACCATAATAAGCATACATAACAACATGAATGAAAGAATTTAAACTCGCAATAAATATTGCTAAAGGAAGAAAAAACAAAAATAAATATTTAAATAACCTAAAAGCTTTTAGAAATTTTCGAATTTGACAGATTTCAAAAGCTCAAAGGCATTTTTATTTATGATTACTATTGATGTTTTATTTTGAAAATATTATTTGAAAAATATAGATAGTTTTATCCATGCAAAAAATGGTATACATATTTTCTTTTTATCATTAGGATTACTTACATTGACCACCTCCAACATATTTTGCTCCGTACCATGCAAAAAATAACATTGTAAGATGATGATAAACATGTAAAAATGTTATTTGATTATCTTTTTTTCGTAATACAAAAATAATCTAATCATACAACAATATGACAAATAGTTCAAGTTTCATTTGTTTTATTCATTCTTTCAACTTACTGTGTCAATCAAATCGGCTATTTTCATAATATAATACCACCAACATGCCTTACATGCCTTGAAAAATAAAAAAACATCATTTTTCTGTCTTATTTAAACTCGATTTAATTAAACTAATTTAAATAATAGTAAAAATAAAGTCTAACATTTTGCGCGACTCTTTTATCGATAACTTTACTCTTCAATAATAATAAAAATTTGAACTCATTTTGCTTACTCGAATAGCAGTCGTATGACTTGAATAATCAACAGGTTCACAAAGAAAACTGTATCTCTCTTTAAACCACACATATGTTGACTAAATAAAAAATATAATGTTTTTCCAGATTTTTTTTTTCATTTTCATACTTCATAGGTTATGTAAGCACAAAAGACCACTTGTAAAACATTATAAATAAACATAAAATTCCGTAATTCAAAAGGCTTTTGACTTTTCATCCATTTTCGTCCAAAAACAATAGCAATAACATACGCAACACCTATCACAACAGTTGGAGAAACATCTTTCATCAGAGGCCAATCATTAACACGTACATCTGGATACAAATTTTAATGTTAAAAAAAAACAAATGTTTCGAATATTTAATAGACTTGCCTCCGTTTTCTGGTAACGTAGTAAAAAGATCCATTGTCGCCATTTGTTCTACACCAATACAGAAATCCAATGTACAAAATGAATAGTTTCATTATTCTCAATACATGTATATGCATGAATGTTTTTTTTATGTAACTGTGGTGACAAAAGGAAGAAAAAAAGTGGAGAGTGATTTGAATGCGAAAGTAGAAATATTTCTTTTTCTTTTTCAATAGGAACTTTGAACCGATGAGAGAGGATACTTCAGAAAATGAAAGAGAAACGAATCATTATATGTTGCAGGTTATTTCCGTTGTTCAACTACTTTCATTTTCAAGAAGTTATTCATTCATTTTTATTAATGAAAAAAAAAAACTTAGATAGACATTACAATATGGACGGATTATTAAATACGAAATGAATTGAATTGAATTGTTTTAATATTTTTTTCCCATACGTGTATTTCCAGCGTCGAATTTAAGCGAATGTATACTTGCAAAACTATCATAACCAGCTACAATGACACATTTAAAATGACGAACTTCTGTTAAACGATCTAATGTATATTCATTGATTTGCAGATCATTCTCATTATTTGATAAAGCTAAAAAATTCAAAAGAAAATTATTTTTCAAGTATCAACAAATAATTGACTTGTAATGACTTTTTTCGAGAATAGTATCGAAATTTCTCGGTTCTGTGTTCATCGTAGTAAACATAACAAAACGTTTGACTAAAATTATAGCCAATCAATAATAATAGTTCTTAATAGAAAAACAAAGCATTTTTTAAAATTTTATTTACCATTAGTTGTTACAAATCGTATTTGCCGAAATTCAATTGGTTCTTTAAATGTAATAATAAATTCTTGTGGATATAAACCTGTTGTCATCCAAAAGACTTTATCACTTCTAATAAAAGAAAGACATATTAGAATTGATTAGTACCAATAATAAAACTTTCGAATCTCCATATTCTGTCTAATGTGAGATCGCAGTGGCTTGTGCGTTGAAGTCAAGAAAATAAACCGAACAATCTCGTAGATAAAATCAAGAATTTTAATAAAAAATCAGAATATCGTGAAACCGATTTCATTATTTTTGTACAAGACAAATTGTGAATATCAACAGAGTAGAGATAAATTCATAAAACTTACTCTTCAAGCAGTTACTCATGACACGCTTATTTCTTAATGTCAATTCTTAGAAATCTATTAACAACAAAAATAACATAAAATATATTAAATTTAGCTGCAAACATTACTCTGGTTCTTTTTCTAGAATCAAGAGTGTAGCAGGAATCTCCCAGAAACGACCGATTTTATTTTGTAAATAGTGACATCAAGCCATTACGAAAATATTAACGTGTTCCTTACTAAAACGCTGACTATTGATAGATAATCTTATAAAAAAAACTAATGATTAGGATATCATTTTGGAGAGAAATGATTGTTCTTTCGTTTGGTCTATTTCGAATATATTTTACTTCTACATGGGACGACTTGTTGTACATGGAAACCATTTCAAATTTAACCTACACGTCTAGCAAAAGTTCTTTCATAAGAAGATATGTACCAAACCAAAACGGTTTAAGTTTGAGTTTGGTACATATCTACTCACAATTGCTAATCTATCAAGATTCGGAAAGAGCACTAACTTGCGTTTCTAACTCCATGACAGAAAATTTCTCCTAGTTCACTTTATAGGTTCAAAAATTAAAAAAAACTTCTTAAAATTTTTAGTTCACTCGTTAGTAGAAACGAGTATAATATGAACATTATATTTCCTACAACGATTGTAATAAAAACCTTGAAAATAGATTAAATATAATATAAAAAGCCGTCATTATCGTATAGACATAATCCTACAGCGACAGATCGCAAACTATCAAGAATATTGTATTGCTGTGAGATCTTTCTCTAATAAATTTATTCTAAAAATATTCTTATTTGAAATGAATAAAAAATTTCTTTGTTTCTTAACTATTTTGAAAGCAAATACTACTTACGGATCAAGAATATTACTCGGTGGATAATCTTGATCGGCACTAGAAGACATTGACACAAAAGCATTTGATTCTGCAAGTGTCATCTTCAAAAAAAAAAGAATTACAATAAAAGCTTGTCAATCGAATTTAACTTTCTTTAAAAATTCTTTTTTTCTTGTTTATTTCAATAAATTGGCAAAATCATCACAATACATAGAATTTAATGACCTTTTTACTTTGATGATTTTAAAAAGAAAACAACAGACAGTTGAAATTATTCAACAAAATAAATTAGAATGTTGCCAATATCTTGTTCGCCTAAAACCAAAGTACCATGACATAAATCAATCTTTAAAGCTTGATTTTTATTTTCAAATTCAACAAGACCGTGTAATGGTGTTGCCATATTGGGTAATGTTCGTGAATAAAATTCCCAATTTTGAAAATAAAATAAACGAATATTTTTACTTGATCTTAATTGTCGATCACCCTGTCGTCTTAAACGTAATTCTAATTGTTCAACTGTATCACCATTCATAATCGGTATAGACCATTCAAAATTTGGTAAATATGGTTGACGATTAATTAAACGTATTGTAATTGATGCTTCATGACGAAAGTGTACAATCGGTTTACCAGGTATAATATCTTCTAAATTACTTAATGTTGTTGCATCTGTATCATTACCATCAGTTAAACGAATATCAATTTGTTCAATATTAAGTGAACGTCGAAGATAATCTTGATTAAATTGTAATACTTGATATTCATCAAATGATAAATGTTGATCTAATGATGTTACATCTCGACTTTTTTCTAATATATCTTTTGAATAAATAACAAATGGCATTAATTTTTTTTGATATTTCTTATCGATTTCTGGTCGATCTTTAAAATGAATTGCTAATTGTTTACTATCAGGTAATGAATAATTATTTGAAAGATATAATTGTTTTAATTCATTAATAACAAATGTTTGCCATGATGGATATGAACGTGCAACAAATATTGTTGCATGTGTTGCTGGTAATGGTGGTTGAGGTTTTGCTCCTTTTGATTTACCACCTGTTTGTTGAGTTGCATAAGACTTAAGACGAAGACGAAAATCATGAGCAGTATTCATTAAATAATTGCATGAATCAATCAATGATTGATCAACTTTACCTATTTTTCAATAGAAATAAAAATCTTATATATAAATTCTTAAAATTAATCTAATTTCTAAAATTTACAAATAAGGCTAAGATTCTCCTTGGAAGATTAAACATACGAATTTATTCGAAAATCAATGAATCAATTATTTGTAATTGTTGAAAAATAGTGTGTCCTTATATATAATGCAAAACGATTAACAGTTACAAATTACACGTTGTATGGATGAGAAACATTTCGCTCTAATCGAAATCGATCGGAATTTAACACGTCAACGCTGACATACATATATCATCAGTAAAAGAACAATCAAGTCTAACCAAGATTGACTGAAATACACATTAAGCCAAACAGTAGTATTATAATAAAGACATGAAAATAACAAAGATGTATAGTATGAGAGAGAAACAAAGTAATATTTAGACGAAGAGTAGAATCAATTTCCTTGATAATACAGATCACTAGAGCTCTATATTCAGCAATATCATTTCTATATAACCCAGAGCTGCAAAATTTACCCGTATGCGCGCACGCACGTTGGGGGAAATTTTAGAAAAATTATTGTCTGCATGAAAATTTTTAATGTACAAAATTAGCTAATAATGTTTTTCTTTCGTAGCTATCAAGCTAGAATGTGCATGCACAAATCGCGTGATTAATTTCTCAATAGAGAACAATCCAACTGCTATTCGTCTAATTTCTTTTATCATTCAATATCTTTTCTTCAACATGCATATGTCCCATGTTACGTGTTGTTCTGCCTTTTTATGTTGTTCAAATATGGATAATATTAGAGTATTTCATCTATTTGCGTCGCTATTTATAATAATCGTTGTTTTTCATATTAAATATAATGAATCGTTTACCACAAGTTACGACGGAACTGTCGAATGCAAATGTAACAATTTAGAAAACTTCATTATTCGGCTACAATTTGAGGCGAACTAGTACTATTTTATAAGAAAAGTGAACAATATCTAGCGTGAAAATTTTTAATCCTTGATTCAATTGTGGTAAATCATTTCTGGGATGATCAAGTTCAAAAACTATCAGTATTATTCTATACTTGATGAAACTAATTTAATTTTTACATGACGTTATTTTGAGTGCGTACTAGACTTTTTTTCTCTTGTTTTTTTCTTCAATATATATATTTTAAAGAATGATTTATTTTATTTTGATGGTAGAAAAAATTTTTTGAAGAGTTTCTCTTGGTTGGGACAAATTTTTCAATTTAGCAGCAAATTCTTCATTTCTCTACATAACCTCGATTCTTTTTTTTTTCTATGAAATCTTTCCTTACCAGCTGTTGGCCATTTAGCATTCATAATTGTTGTACCAGGATGAAGAAATTGATAAACATAGTCACAAATATGTGGACAAATCGGTGCTAATAAAATAGCTTGTACTTCAATAAATCGTTTAATTAAATGTAAATTCATTTGTTCAACTTCGGAACATAATTCTCGATAATTATCACGTGATATTTGTAATTCAAAAAATCCATATTTAAGAACATCTTTGTATAACATTTTTTCATAACTTTCTTGTGTTAATTGAATTGCACGATTTATTTCAGACTCAAATACATGATCGTAGTAATTATATTTTGTATCTGTTCGATAATGATTTTTTTGTTGTTTAGTAAATTCTTCATTCGTATTATCTGAACTAGATGAAAGATGCAATTTATCTTTAACCCAATCAATAACTGATGAAACAATTGTTGCATTATCTTCTGATGGTTTTTTCAAATCATCTTCTTCTTCAATATCAACGACATTAATATTAAGTACTTCTTTAACCCATTCAATAAATGTATAAAGACGTAAAAGTTGTGCTTCAGCCATTTCTTCTTCAAAATTTGCATCTTCAATTGAATCACCAGCATCAGCTAGTGTCAAACGCATACCTAATATATATAAAACGATAGATTTACATTTTTGTTTTTATATTTTACCCATTGAGTATCGACATACAGAATTTTGTACGATTTTTTTTTCGAGTTTCTTAATTTTTGAATAACTCGTGAATTTAAGAGAAAAAACAAGATATGACAATGTAGTTTTGTTGGTTGATCTCAAATATGGTAATAAATAATTTTATCTGCAACTATATGGGAAGTGAAACAGGTGCAAAATAAACGAAACTACTTTGGATTACGCTGATCATGAAGCTTATTATATTTTTACATGATTATAATGGACCTTAGCTACAAAAGACATGGAAGTTATGAATGATCTTTGTGTTTTCACTCTTGTTTCTCTATGTATGTTTCGATAGTGGGTGCTTATTTTCAATGAATTTCTCGAATTATATACTAATTAACCATTATACTTGGTATAAATAATCGAAAGATATACTGGGGTATCTGATAGAATTTTAAGGTGAAAATAGTACTATTCAGCCAAGTTTTGAAGTTTTTTCGAAGAAAACTTCAAAACTAACGCTCGAATGATAAAATAACTTTATTTCAAAAAATAATTAACAGTGAGGATTTGAATTTTATATTCTAGATAAAGTGGGGAGAATCAAAGCTACGTTTTGAGAAAAAGAAAAAGTCTTCATGTCTCTTGAGTCAGAAGTTATTTGAATTTTATGATAAAAGAAATGAAATGTTTATATCTTATGAATAATTCAAGACAAGAGTGCTAAGTTTGTTGGGTGATTATCATTTGCTGATAACAATGATCAAATCAATTTCGGAGTCTCTAACTATCTTGATCTAGTATTGGTACTCAAATGGTTAATAGAAAACAAATACAAACCATCAGCAGAAAATTTTTCAATTGCTTGTACTAATGTTAAAAAGTTGCCTGTTGATTTCGACATTTTTTCTGAATTTAACAATAAATGTCCATTAGCACGGAATGCACGTGGCCATAATTCTGAATGATTAGGCCAAATAGCTGTATGATTATATATTGAATAAGTAAGATGATTTGGAATTAAATCTTTTCCACTGGAACGTAAATCAACAGGATACCAATATTGAAATTCGTTACGAAGATGATCAAGTGTTGCATGAGGAATATCTGTTGTTGAAGATGGATAAGGTTTTTCACGAAAAAATATATAATCCCAAACTTCGATTGTTAATTGAGATGGAAGAATATTTGCTGGACCTACATTAAAAGAACAACAATGAAAAATAAATGTTTGTTTAGAAAAAATTTTTTTTTTGAATAATTTCTTACCTAATTTTTCACCACTAAAAGAATCTCGTGCTTGTAAAAGATGAGCTACAGTATAATAAGCCATATAAATAGTTGAATCAGATAATGATTCAATTAAATATTGTTCATCCCACGGTAATTTTGTACCAAGACCATATGAACGTGAACATGCATGTTCATGTAACCACCCCAAAACAGCTTCAAATTGATGACGTGTTTCTGTATGATAAACATTCATTTTATCTAATGCATGTTTAGCTTCTTGTTTCCATTTTTCATTACCATAATCAAGAAACCATTGATCAACAAGTGCAACAACACATTCATCATTTGATCGTGAAATAACTTTACCTTCTGGTTCATAATATGCACATGATTGTCCATTTGTAATTAAATCATCACGAACAAGTTTTTTAGCATCAGATACTTTTGTATTTGCATATTTGCCAACTAAAAGTATTCCATCATAAAATGATTTTGTATAAATTTTTTCTTTTGCTTCTAATAATTTATCACGATCATTCTGTGATTGAATTTTCATTTGACTACAAATTGTAGGTGCAGCAAGACGACCATATGGTTCAAGTTCAATAATTGGTACTGGATCATATGGTAATACCATGGATTCTTTAATACCATATTTTTCCCGTAAATTAGGCTTTTATTTAAAAGAAAAACAACAAAAAATTTTAAATGAACAGAAAAACAACAAAAATTGAATAATCTATTTTTTTTACCTTATTTTTAATATCCATTAAAGCAGCATAATCATCAGGTGAATCACTTGGTACTGATGTAACAACACCTGTACCTTTATCTTCTTTAATTGTCATCATAGGTAATACATAAACTGTTTCATAATGTGAAAGTGGTGCATGTAATGGTAATCCAAATAATTCTGAACCAAGAAATTCAGCTAAGACTGTATATTGACCATAGGTATTAGTAAATTCTTGATAAGCCATATTACGAGCTGCACGTCGTGTACATATAAGAATACCATGTAAACGTGTTTCAAATGCTACATAACGAATATCTGGATGAAGCCAACAATTTGTTTGACCATACATTGTTTCTGGTCGAAGAGTAGCAGCAGCTAAATAAACACCAGTTGTTGATGATTTTACATGAGATTTTAATTTTTCTGGTACATGATCATCATGAATACGAAGTTTAACTAATGTATATTCTTGTGGACCTACACCTTCACCACTACTACGATCATGATCCATACATGGTTGATTATCTTTAGGTGAGTAAATTGTATATCTATGAAACAGATGACTTATAGTTAATTGATATTAAAAGATTTTGTTTTTACCGTTTGCCAAATTGAACTTTACCACCTTCTTTTAAATGATGAAATTGCCAACGAACAAATGAATCATAAAATGGATTAACATCAGTTGTGACAAATGAACGACGCCAATCAACCTGTCAATATTATTCAAAATGAAAACTTGACTAACAAAGGAATTTTTTCAAATGATTAATCACTTTCGAATTTGGACTCGATAAACAAGGTAGACTACAGGAAAATACAAAACAAACTCCAAAGGATAAGTCTTCTTACGCCTTTTACTCAGAAGTATAGGTATTTTATTGGAATTTTTGTCTGTAGCATGGTATATATCAACATATTGAACGATAGTATTTCAACGTGATATTTCGCTTACAGACAGGTCTATGTTTTAGCAGAATGCCTTGAAAATTTCAGCTCAAAAGAAGATTTTCTAGAGATATTAGAGTCCCTAAAAACAAAAAATTCTGGTACCTTTCGTGGAGTATGAGTGATTTTAATATCTCGAGAAGGAAATATTTTTTTTTTTTAGTTGAAATTTTTCAGAGCATTCTATTGGCAAATAGACTTGTCTGTGAGCAAAATCTCAGATCGACATGCCATCATTCGATTGGTTGATATATCCCATACTTGAGAGTAAAATGCCAGTAAAATGCCTATAACTCTGGATTGAAGGTCTAAGAAGATATATCCTCTTTAGATTTTTTTTGTATCTCATTGAAATCTACTTGATGCACAGAGCCCAAATTCAATTGAGATTGATTAAATGAAAGCTTTATCTCATAAGATTTACTTTTAAACCCATCAATTCAAGATCATGTTTAACGTGAGATGGAAAATAAGAAATCCAATATTGCGGATCAGCAAATCGTCGAACTTCATCATCATCATCAATTCCCAAACTACGCATAATTTGCCATTGATATTTTTCACCACCACTCTTAGCTGCTGCTTTACTCTATTCGAATACAAAAAAAGAAGAAAATAGAATCTAATTTTTTTACAATATTAAGAAAAAAAAGATATATACTTTCTTGCTCTTGGATTTATTATCGATTTTACTACTTTCGCTTTCTTTTGGTGTTGCTACTTTTTCTTCTTCAACTTCTTCATTCACATTGGTAGGGAATTTTGGTGGAAACCCAAATTCTTCTAATTCACGTTTCAATTTATCGGCAGCAGCCTGAATGGTAAAGACAATTAAATACATATTATTTTTACTATGAAACTTACTCGAATAGGCATGCCTGTACAATGAAATCCAAATGGAAATAGACAATGTTTTCCACGAAGACGTTGAAAACCAACAGCAAACTAAAAATTTCAATATAAATATAAGCAAAAAACTAAAATAATCAATATGAAACCTCGCATTTGGACAATGAAAATGTATGTCCCAAATGAAGACGACCATTCATATATGGATAGGGAAATGTTACCAAATATGTATTCGAACTAGAAAAAAGAGACAAATGATTTCAAAGCAAGAATTGCAACAAATAAATCTTACTTATCACTAGGATGACCAGGTGCATCAACTTCAAATATTTTCAAATCAGCCCATATTTTTTGCATGTGTTTTTCAATTTCACGAATAGTATCAAGTTTGACGGTTGAACGTTTCTCAGTTGTCGCTCCAGCTGCAGTTGCAGTGGATGTTACCTTGGACGTTGCCATGTTTTCAATTTTGATTTGATTTGATTATCTACAACACACATATATATATATAGATAACAAGTATTTCGTGATTTTGAATAATGAATGATGCCATTAAAAAAGTAGATTACAGCAGCCAGCATGAAACAAACGAATACAAACTAGCTGATGAAATAGAAGAAAATAATATTTCAGCTCAGCGTATCATAGTTAGTTTAAGGAGTCAATAATATTCATATAAAATGTTGATAGAGGTCGTCCGTAGACAGTAGGATCGTCTGGACGATAAATTTCGATCTAAAAATATAAATTATTGCTCTGTTAACACATGAATCAGATCAATGGAACAATTTTTGTTAGGCATTAATATAAAATGTTAACTGAAACAGCATCTCTTTGCAGCTACGAATCCAGAATTTCAGTGAGGGTGTAGTTATTTCTAAGTCTTCCAATGTAATATGAACTTTTTCGAAACAAATCATTTAATGCGCTCTCCTATTTACATTTCTTCGTATTGTTTTTTGTACAATTAATTTAAAAATTCACGTACGAACAGCTTTTATTAAAAGCTAGTAGGAACTAAAGCGTAAAAAACTGGAGGACGATTATATTGAAGAATTTCATCGACAACAGAATCAATTTTTATACCGAAATCTGGATAAGCGTGCATCACAGTTAATCTATTAAGTTTTGTTTTTGATATTGTTTTATATGATTTGTAGATGAAAAAATATTTAACTTGTTAGGACATTATTTTAAGAGCAGTGTAATTGTGATGATGATACTGACGATAATGGTATAAGTTGAGATTGTTTTCATTAAGGATTTTTTTATTGAACAACGAAAAATGTTGAATTTTGTTAAAACTAGTACTTTTGATTCATCGCCAGCTCTTCTTGTTGTTCATGATGATTCTTTGAGCGTGGTTCATTTTTGAAAAAATTAGTAATATGAGATTACGTTTTAACCTAAGAAAAGTCTGAATAGAACATTACAACAAGCAATCTTAATAGTAAAAAGTCACATTTTGCCTTTATGTGTCAGAATTTTTTCCTTGATATTTGACAGAAAGAACAAGTCTTTGTTAAAAAAACATTGAAAATTTCTTTTAGATACATAGTAAGATTGTTCCTTTTTAAATCTGACTTACAACACTGTTTTATTTTACATACTTCAAACTTCTATTTATTCTTGTTTAATTTTTGAATAATTTTGAAATTAATTATTGATAAACAAAAGTAATGATAAATATTTTTTTTTGTATCTGCTGCTATTACTCATTAGAAAACTTTACTAACTATTGGAATCGCTATTAAATAACCGAAACTGGCATTCGTTGTTCTGTGTGAACACTTATTAGCGAAACTCTCTAAAATTTCCGTTATTGTTTCTATTTGTGAGAAGATGACGGTCACCGGATCACCGAACAGCTGGGTTCACCGTTGGCTAAAACATAAATCAATATTATCTTTTTGGTCGCGTTTTATTTCGAAAATATGAAGAAGTTATTATTTTTCATTATTCATCGAATGCATTAAATATTGAATATTTACAAAATGTTTAAAAAAATCACCACTAGATTATCTTCAATGCATAAAAGATATAATTTGCACACACAGCATTGCATGAAGGATGGGATACTGTATCTAAAGTAAACTATTGACCGATCAATTTAAAAGTTCGAGTGACAATTTGATTTTTTTGGATCCATTTTACTTCATGATGATGCATTTCCTTGCTTTTCAGATATATTCGACTGATATGAATTGGTCATGCATCTACCGTTATAATCATCTAGGGGTCCTCTATCTATAGTGTATATCTTAGATTTTTATCTCTTTGTATGTGTGCACAATCGCTGTACAATTTCAAGTATAGTGATTTTCACTTGTATATTAAACTTTGTTTAAAGTGCCACCCCTAATTCCAACCGATTCCAATACTTATAATTGGTCGGAATTGGTATGGAATTGACATTGTTTAGTGCTAGGAAATTTTCCTTACACGGACAGCCACTTTACCACTTACTCAGTAACCAGGTGACATGAAAATTCAGTGCTTGATTTTTTCACTAACGATAACGGTTTTTGAGAATATCGCAACTTTCTATTGATAAAGTTTAACCAAAGGTTTTCGAAGAATACCCTGCTTTGTCGAAAACTGAAGTATACCATTTAAGAAAACTTATTATAGACTTAGATTTGTCGACTCCGAAATTCTTAGGTCAACCTTTCTGAAAAAATTATCATTTTCCCGAATATTCGTCGCTTTGACGAAAAAGTCAAATTTTAAATTTTCCGCGTCCATGTTACCGAGTAATCAGTAAAGTACCAGTCTGCGTAGTGGGAATCTCTTACTCAAGACTAATATCAATTTCAATCAATTAAAGAGAAACCCACACCAATTCCAATTTCAAAAATTTCCCATCAATTCAAGTCTAGATTTAGAATTGGTGCACTCCTACCTAGAACACACTTATAAGCGACAAAACTGATAGTAATTGTCACTCAAAATAACCATTTCGAATTAATTTAACAAGAAATCGGAAAACTACTGCAAGGGTCAATTGAATTTTCTTATTTTTATTTATATACTTCTCTTATTTATTAACCTACTATTTATGACGAGAAAGCCCGGAATCCGCTGCATCTTTTGGTATATTTACCTTAAATATCAAGTGCATTTTAAAGAGTAAAAAAATATGTTAGAAAACAAAGTGACACTTTTTTTACTACAATAACGGGGATCCATAATGTTGTAACAGCTTTTATTTGGCATATGCCTTGGCTTAGGTTAATGATAAAGTCTTGAATTCTTCTCGAAAAGATACGCCACGGAAAGGTCTATAGAAACTGAATGATTGAACTCCTTTTTACCTGTTCTAATGGCTTTTCTTGTACTCAAAATGAACAACCTTCGTGACAATGTTACTGCCCATCATATTGAAAATTATTGGAAGACTTTTTTGATTTGTTATAGAAATTGGTTCATACAGTTTTTGTAGAACTTCTGACGGCATACCTTTTGAAATAATTCCAAAATTCTATCATTTTCTCAAGTCGAAATATATGCAAAAAAAATGTTCTCCAAACATTTTCAATATGATGGTCAGTAATACTGTCATGTATGTTGCTCCCTTTGAGTACAAGAAAAACCATTAGAACAAGTAAAAAGGAATTCAATCATGCAGTTTCTATAGACATTTCCATGGCGCATCTCATGATTTAACGTAGATCTATATTTTTCAGATATAGACAACTTCAAAAGGCTTCGAACTCACTCACACTTTGCCACATACAAGGTTCATTCAGGATATTGCCACTAGTACAGTGCTATTCAACAATTGCACACAACACAGATTCTGACTGTGGGACTTAGCACTAAAAATTCCGATCCTCGTTACAGAGAGAAGAAACATAAACACTATTCTTTTAATCAATCATTATTGGATTTTTCACTTTTCCGATTTCTTTGTTCCTGGTGTCAACCGATTCCGTTTCCAATCGGTTCGAACCCATTCCGTCGATTTCGGTTATTTGGAACCGGTGCATCCGTACGCCTATCACACTTTATAGGGCTCTCTTCGCTGATCAGTTTGATAAAAAAAGTTTTCAATTTGATTAATAAATAATGATACTATGATCAAAATACCCATAAACATATGAGCTTTGTCAGCCATAGCAGCTTGAGATTATCAGCATTTTGATCCTAGCATCGTTATTTATTGATCAAATTTTTATTTTTTTCCCAAAATGATCAGGGACGAGAGCTCTGTTAAGTGTGAAAGGCAAATATCTCTGTTATTTTAGTGGTTAACTATGTATGAAAATGTTCATTTATGTATCTAAAATTTGAAACTTTCTGCAATTCTATAGCCCATTATGATGTTATGAATGATCAATTATACTCCTATACTCCACTTTTCACGAGCTCTCGTTCGGTATAAAATACATGATGTAAGCTATTTGAAATCAAGGCGCTAGCCCCTGGACTAATATTATTTCCTACCTTGTATATAGTCTTGTGTATATTTACCATGCAATAAATATGTTAAACAAGGTTTAATGGACAAATGGAAATCAAATTTGTAAAAGTATTGAAAATCACTATACTTGAAATTGTACAGCGATTGGGCACACATACAACGAGATAAAAATGTAACATATACACTCTAGATAGAGGATCACTAGAGGATTATAACAGTAGATATATGACCAACTCATATCAGTCTGTAATATATAGAAAGCAAGAAAACATGTCATCATGAAATGAAAATGAATACAAAAAAGTCGAATTGTCACTCGAACTTTTAATTGGTCGGACAATAGTATCTATTTTTGAGTACTTAACTGATGACGGAGGCACTACTAGGGAACGACATGTTCACACGTTCGTTACGTATTTTATGTACGTCGTGTGAATCTGCCCCTTTCTTACATGAGCAGGTCGCTGCTTCCTCACGACTGGTGGCGATTTCTAGTCGCGCGCGCGTACATGTATATTTAAGAGTTAGAACGAGAGAGGCAACAGCGATTTTGTGATAAGAATGTTTCTCGAGAAAAATAGTTTATTTTTTCAAAACCCACAAAAATAAATTGAGAAAGAAGTATTCATTTGTTTGTTGAACATAAGAATAAACAAACAATCCAAGTCATTTTTCAATTGAGAATTGTTGGACCCGACTATCCCTATAGCCGACAACATACAGATTAACATGTCGATCAAATGACAAACCAATAGGACCATCCAACTGATTTGCTTTTTCTCCCTTATCATTTTCACGAACAATCACATTTTCCTGTGTCGCACCCTTGCATCAACTCATCACTCGATGATTTGGTCCATCTGTCGCATAGATTGTACCCAACGCATCAACAAATACTCTTCCAAGATACAACAATTGTGTCAGAGCATTTCCTTCACCTTGACCACCAGTCAAGACAATTCCTTCTTTCGCACCTATCATCCATTTCATTAGACGACGGTTGCTAAAATCCAAGATGCAGAGAGAATAATCTCGATCAACAAAGATGAGGATGTTGAACTGATTGAGACAATCATCTCTTTCATTCGATGTCATCTCACTTCCTGCTTTCTGTAATCAGAGATATAGACAAATCTCTAATTGTCCATCGTCAATCATGTATAATCCATCTTTTCGATGATCGGTTCTCCATTTGTTCGATTTCGACGACACCATTGCATCTCTCGTCAGTTTTCTTGATCGTAGATGATGAAACTGTTTGTTTCTCTATCAAGAATCATATCTCTTGGGCAATACGACTGATTAGCTCAATTTTCTGAATGACCAGCAGCTGCAACTTGACCACTCGCTACGTCAGCCTCCTATTCTATAATACAATGATTGCCATTATCAACAACATAAACAGTTTGATCATCATTTACATAGAGGCCATGAGAATAAGCGAGTTTTTTTGACCGCCACGCTTCTCATGGCCTTCGGCAAGGGCTACTCCTTTCTGTGCCCATTCGACATTTTCTGGAATATCCAGGATGACATCTACAATAGAGAAAGAAAGGAAATTGAGGAAGAAATAGTTTTTGATGAATTTCAACACATCGTAGTGTACTTTCATGGAATTTAGCCATATGTTGCGAAATGCCTTGAAATCTTTTTACAATTTTGCGAATCTTGCTGTAATTTCGCCGGCGGGTCTCCTGTATTTGAATGCAATTTTTCTTTCTATGTCTTGAAATCTTTATGAATCTTGTTAGACTTCTCGATTTTTTTATCAAGGATTTTCCGAGATACTCGGAATTTACTTTGATATTTGATAGATTTCACGATTTTTGGAGGATTTCCTGGAATAGCAGAGGCTTATCTTGTGTTTTCTTGAATTCATAGCATATTCTCTGTATTTTTTGTATAGCTGTCTCGAATCTTTATTAGCTTTATGGCATTCCGTCAAATTCGCTGCGATTGATCCTAATTACATCGAATTTCACTGGTGATGCTCGCGGGCTTTCTCGAAATTGTTCTAAATCTTGAGAATTTTGTTTTGTCTATCTTGCGGAATTTTTATGATTTTTCTGAACTTTTATGATTCCTTATGCATTTTTTGGCGGTTTGATTACATGGACGAAATTTGATTGGTTATGTGCAGAATTCGTCCTGGTTTCTTCAAAGGACAGGGGCGCATAAGACCGTAATTTGGCCCATTGGACTTTTCATACTATGTACAGCACAATCATATATAGGATGAAAGAGCTTCAACTGGCGAGTACTTTCCAATACGTTTGACGACTTCCTACCTTATGATTTCGAATGATCTTATTACGAATACATAGTAATTACATGACAACCTTTCAGATTAGTTTTCTCTATATAAATTCAAGAAAGTCAGCTTCAATTATACACCACNATATACACACACACATATATATATATATATATATATATATATATATATATATATAATTTTAATTTAATGTCTCTATTCTGCGTGCTGCTCTGATACGGTTGATTATTCCTAATAGATAATGTTTTCAATAAGAACAAAAGGAACAATAATCTTAAAGACTATTTTTTATCTTGTCATACTATTATTCTTTTTTAGAAGTATTTTATTTCAAGATACCATAATAGAAGTTATTATGTTGGAGCACTGAAATTAGATTATGTTAGAATATTATTTTTAACAACCGATGAATAGTAGATAAATCATTTACGTAAATAATGCCAAATATTAGCAATCGTTTTGTAAATTACCTTAATATAAGACTTTGATAGGAAGTTGTCTATTCAAAAGTACAATCTAATTTATTTGATGATTTTGTTTAACTCAAGGAACTTGCTACAGTTAGACTTTGTGTTCAGAAAAAGATTTACTGATAAAGTGTTATGCCGCTAAGTTCAAGAATGATTTAGTGCTATTCATCTCTGAATAGATAAGTAGTTAAATAAGTCTATCTGATTGAATGAAAAAATTATAATATAGAATTTGATTTACCTTCTTCCATTTGTATTTCTATTTGAAAATATTTCTTTGAAAAATTCCTTCTTTAATTACATATTAAAAAACTTGCATATGAAGTTTTGTATATAATATCGGCTTGTTGTTTCAATTCTGAAGCCTTTAATCTAATACAATTTACAACAATTATTATTGTTAGATATGACAGTTTTTTTCATAGGTACGTGTAATTATTTCTGAACGTGCTTGGAAAATAATTTAGCCTATTAAAAATTTCCTCTTCATTGATTTGAATCTTGTCACACTATTTGTTGTCTTTCTTGTTAGTATCATATTCAAAAATCTGTAGCTTTCTTTATCGATTTGAACCAGTATCTAATCGATGATCGATCTTCTCTAATATTATAGTCATGAAAAAAATAACCACATATTCGATTATTGTACTCTTCACATGCACTATACTTTAACAATATTGATAGCGAAACATGAGATTACTATGATTTTTATAAATGCATGAGTTTATTTTGCTCAAAAATCTGGCAATCTTCTTCCTTTCACATAATCGTACGAAAATTCTATTTTGAAAATACGTATATATTAATTGTATAGTGAATAACCTTAATTCTAACTTTAGAAAATTGTTTATTTATTCATTGTTGATAAATAATGTACAATATTCAAATCTATCATATTTCTACTACTTATATTACCAAGTGTGCATAAAAATGTTCATGTCTTCAAGTACTTTTAATTATATGTAAAGATTTTCTCATGTAATTAGATAAACGATGTCATATAATATTTTTCGTAAATAAATAATGAAACAATTTTAATTTATTCATTGCTTTGATCTTTCACAAGAAAAAAAGGCTATTTATATATGTCAGCCCATTTTAAGAATTCAATTCATTGTGACAAACATATAATTTCAATTGATTATATTCAACCTCGTTATACTTTAATTTTGTATTATATTCATATGTTGGTTCCACTCGAGATTGATGACACCCTACATAATAACTTATCTAATTGACAGGACGGACGTATGAAAGAGCGTCGGTGAAGACGTCAAAGAATATGATTAATGCGGTGTCGCTGATCTGCAGAAATACTCATGTTTGGTATCATTACAAATTTTATTTTTAATTATCAAAAAAATTCGTAAAACAAAAGTTTATATTTTTACAATAATAAAAATCACTGAAAATGTTTAGTATTGTCTTCAATGTGTCTATTTAAAAATTTCTATTCATATATACTCCGAGCACGTTTCGTCTAACAGCTGATTGGTCACTTTGTTTTTCTCATACTTGTTGAAGAATCAAAACTCACTGAGCACGTATTGGTTAACGAAACAAACAACTGAATAATTTTTGTTATGAAAAAATGAGAATATGAAACTTTTATAGCTGAATCATCTGGACTGTTTTTTTTTAATGAAATTCTATAAGAATCTTATGCTCCATTTGCAGAAATCCTATGTTTAAATGTCCCGAACTCCGAATAATAATAATGGGAATCAAATGATACGAGATTGCATTGAAAAAGCTGAAGCATATAATAGTTCAATGTTTCCAAATAATTCGTCAATATCAATGAATATCAAATCAAAAGACAATTTTATCGATGTTACAGAACAAATACTATTTTGTCAAAATGGAATTGATAATTTAAATATTTCATCAAAGAATAATAAGCCGACATTTGTAAGTTAAGGTTAAATTGAAAAATTTTGTTTCAAAATCTTTTATAATTAAGTAAAAAATAGAAAATCAAATTATTAAACAATGATAAAGTTTTATGAATTATATTTGTCAAAACTTATTTATATTCAACACGATTGATATATCTCAAGAAATATAATAATATTTCTCAGATATATTCTTAATTTATTAACGTGGGGGAGATATTTTTTTGAGTGTTCTCTAAAAGAAACATTTCATTTTAATTATGAAAATGTAAAATAGTGCTTTTATCGTAATAACAATGAATCTTAATAAATCATAAGTTCTCAACCAGAACAAATATAAACAAGAAATAATTTGTAAAATATGAATTCGAAATATGCATTTATATATTTGAAAAATTCAATAGCCTGAGCTAATCTATGTATTTAATGTTATATTTTAAAACTTTCTTAAAAAAAACTTTATTTCTTTGGAGATAAAATTCTATATTCAAACAATTTATCAAAATTAGATCAACAGTCTGAATTTTTCCATTTTGAATATTTATCGTTCTTTATTTTGTGAACGGATTTTCATTTAAAACTATTTATTCAATCGATATTTTGTCTCATAATATGAATAATATTTCATAAAACGTTTCAAATAATTAATAAAATTATTTCGAACTTTATATATTTACATTTAGTTGCTGGATTATTCTTTGTCTGTATATCTCTGTTCGGCTAAAACAAAACGGTGCGTTTACGAGATCGAAATTCATACTTTATGAAAAAGTAAAAATCTATATTGTAGAATATATGATTAATGAAAGAGAAAATTAATCATACTAATAAAATTTCTAAATTTTTAACTCTTATATGTTTTTCCTGTCCTATTATAATACATGGTATATATATATATTATTCAATATATTCTTTGTACAGTGAAATTACAGATTTTTTCAAGCGTAACCATCATACACAAACAATTTCTCATCGACTGCTTCTATTTTTTTTCAAAAGTGTTGCAACCTGAAGTTGATGTTAATCCTATTGTTTGGTATAAACACTTTCTAGGGATGCACCAAATCTACTTCTTAGATTTGACTGGATTTAGCTGGATTGGCTATAAATAGATTTGATCTTTAAAAATTTGGTATTGAATTATTAATTTACATTAAGTATGTTTACTATTGATAATTCCACAGTATACAAATCCTGTTAAATCCAAATCTAATTTTAGTCAAATCTAATTTTAGTCGAATCCAGTCAAATCTAATTTTATTTCTTGGCTTAAGTTTGACTGGATTTGATTGTTGGAGAATTACTGACAGTAAACATAGTTACCTAAATTAATGATTCAATATCAATTTTTTTCAACACCAAATTGAGTCAAGTTCTAGATAAAAATTGAAATTGGTTTATCCATAATATTTTCCATGTTTTATGAAGCAATCTGTATGTCAGTCTTAAGTGACACTGATGTCAATCATTGATATGATCGAAAATGTTCTGAATGTCTTCTCTATTTAGAATCAAACATCTATTGAAGATACTAATCCAGTAAATGAAGTACTAACGGTCGATATCATTTCAAATGGATATAAATATGAAACTTCGTCATTTGAACTTAATGTTGTACAAAAATGTTGTGTTGTTTCAATTATTTCTCCATATGCATTTACAATTCAATTAACAAGTAATTTAATTGAATGTGACAATTTTTTTAAAAACATGAAGTATTTATTTTTATTTTATTTTTCATTTATTTTATTTATTTTTATTTTTTAGTGATTATTATAATTCCATTGATGATCTTCAAATACCTCAAAAATATTTACGTAAAAATCTTCTTTGTGTTACATATGATGAAACGGTATTTGCATGGAATCGTTCTCAAATAATGGAATATGATTTAAAAGAAGATACTGTTAATGTTTTTTTTGTTGATTTGAATTCTTGGGAAGAAAATGTTCCACGTTCACGTATACGTTTTATATTAACAAAATATTCTTCTCGACCTGTTTATTTACTAACATGTCGTTTAGCATCAATTGCTCCATTAAATAATGATACCGAATGGAATGATGTTGTATCAAGAACTTTTCAAAATGTTATTCATAATTGTCAATGTGATGTTGAACCATTATATAAAAGATGTGATAATACATTCTATGTAAATTTATTTGCACTACATGATGAAGCTTACGTTTGTATAAACGATTTTTTAATACATTGTAAAATGGCTAGACCTACTGACGATACTACTAATAATGACGATGCTGTAAGGTGCAATAAGTTTTAAGAAATTATGAAATACCTTTTTTATTTTTTGTGTCAAGATTTATATGCTAGATGATGATGGACAACCAATGCATTCAATGATTGTGCTTTATTGGAAAGCTGGAGAGTATGTTTATATTTGAAAATAGAATTCTGAAATTTTACTTTTCTTTTCAATAGAACAATGCATCAAACAGATACTTCTGTTAAAATTCAAAACGATGATCATCCTTCAGCAGAATCTACTGAGGCGTTTCAAACAAAACCTCTATCTCTAATAAAAGTAGTTCTAATTAATGAGAAAGACAAATTAATTTTTGCAAGATATAATTCTTATATGATGCTACCCTGGTTTGTTATATCAAATATTCTAAATGAATTGGATGAAGATAAAATAAAAATTCTTGTAAATTTTACTTAAAATTTTTATTAATAATATTTAAATCATTGGTTTATTTTTTCTAAGGCGAATAAATTTGGTTTTAAACCAATTATTATTGATCCTCTTTCACATGCATTACTTTGTTCACAATTATTAAAATTGTCATCTTCAATGCTAATATCAACTCAAATCAGTTTATATTCAATTGATTGTGTTAGAAAAATTTTAAAAACATATCATTATAGACAATCGGAAATTTTTGATTTATTAGATAGAGCACGTTTAGCTGAAGCAAATAATGATATTACGTTTTGGGATCAATCTTATGAGGTAAAAAATGAAAATATTTAAAAGTAACACATTATATTAGTTTATTTTATGTAGATTTTATCGATCAAGACACCAAATGAATCTGTTCCATTGAAAACATAGTAAATATTAAAGAATCTATACAAGAATAAGAATATACTAGTCTATCTATTAAATTAATTGAATAAAGAGAGAAGATTTAATATTAGAGTCCAACAAATTGAAATAGAGTTTAAATTTCTATTTAATATTATATATAAAATAGGTATAGTTTAACTCTTTCTTATTGAGGATAGACCATCAATACACATGTTAAAGAACCTGAATTTCAATGATCTTTATTGTACATTAAAAGAAAATATGACTAAAACTGGTTGAATATCAATATAGTTCAAATAGAGAATCATTATCAAGAATTTACAGTGGTCAAGTTCTCTAATCTTGAACCTTTTCGACAATAACCTCTTTGACAAAAAAGGGTTAAATTAACGATTTGAGATCTTTCATGATGATAATGATAGAATGTAAAAATAATTGAATACAAATCCGAAATTAAATTTGATTAAAGAGGAATTGTACGAAGGTTTTTTAAAAATTCTTCTGGCAAAAGGTATAGAAATATCGCAAATTAATGATAAGTGAGTCAGTTTTATACAATGTACCATCAGTATATAATTGATTTTATGTTCGGTAATCTTTCGAAATCTTCAGATATTTGTTTATAGAAATCTATGAATCTTATCATTTCATGTTTAGAATCACATTTGACCAAAATTTATCAAATTTTCAACAATATAACAATTGCTCGACTCAATAATGAACTTGATTTTATTAATTAAATCATTATTCATTCATATTATGTAAGATAAAACTGTTGAAAACTCAGTGTCCAACAACATATTTTGATATTTATAACAGACTTGATTTAAATTTCTTCGTCTTTGTTTTTATATTAATTTTAATCCCATGCATAAACCAGAATTGTTTTTTTTTTCTTCTAAAATTTATTGTAAAGTTCTTCGCACTTTAAAGATCAAGGAATTCTTTTATCTCAAAATAAACTCATTATCAAATTAATGATTAATTTGGTTTTATTTATGAATATGTGTTTATATAACCGAATTCAATACGATATAAATAATCAAAAGAATTTCTCATCGACTTGATCAATAATGATTGATATTGAAGCAATGAATGCAAATTATAAATCTCTTTTGTTTTTAGCTAATTCATTTGAAAAAAAAGCATATTAAAATTAATCTGATTAGATAGTAAATGAAGAAAGATAAGTAGATTTTTGACGTTGTCGAATTCAGAAGTAATAAAAAGTGTGCTCAATTCTCTTGCAAATAATGATATTGTGCTATTGATGCAAGTAGATTTTCATAAGATTAAAAATCTTGATCCTTTTATTGACATTTCAATTTATATTGAGTAAAAGAACAAATTTGAAAATTCGACCTAAAATTTTATTCTTATATTAGCATCATAATATTTCGAATATTCTCAAAGTTTTCAGCTTAAGATATGTATTTCCCTTTCGACATGATCTTTAGAGATGATTCTGGTTTTTGGGCATTCAAATATCTTGATAAAGCGCCATTCGCTTTATCTAGATCTCTAAACTATTCTAAGGCTCATGAGAATTATTTAGAAAATCGGTTATCGATCAGGATTTCGTTATTTGCTCCTTTGAAAAATATCTTACGAGAAACTACAATTCTAATAAAATGATCATAACTTCGTCAAGACAAATTCAAGTAAACAGACCTTTACGATTATTTTCTGATTTCACTCTCTTAACAATATTAAGTCATAGAATAATGGACAAAAGTTCCCTTCTCTTCAGCAGATCTTAATTTCCATACATGTGGATAGTCTGAAAATTCATATACACATACTCGACTAAGAATGCAGGTCAGAGGCATAAGGTCGCTCGATAGCTAAAAATACAACGAGGATTATAATGGACGGCGTTTATCTTTGCTTCAAGCTTTTTAACTTGCAAAAGCCATCTATTAGATTCTGCATTATATTTTATGAATACATGACTCATTTTGGATCTTTTTATTTGCAACTAAAGCCCACTATATGATCTCTCATCACTCAACGATCATGTAATTTTCTAAACGATTGCTGTCTAAGACTTTTAGGTAATAATGTTCAACTACAGGTAAAGCTTTTCTACAAGTTCGAGCTCAATTTATTGAAGTATTACTGAGTTATGATCTACAAAGAGCATCAGGAAGTTTTTTCTCTCCTTGAATAGTCACAGTAAAATGACCGTCATTCTAATCAGGGTTTATGGGTTTCGATGAAATTAATAGCATGAATAAGTGGAGCATAACCGTAAATAATGAGGAACCAATTGACCCAAAAAACCTTTTCTTTTCAAAAGTATTAAGTTCAAAATAAAACTAAATCTTATCGATTACCATCCATCATAACCTCAATTGTATTTAAGCAATCGAGAGCAAGCTGGTGACTCTGATCTACATTTTTGATGGATTATGTACACACACAAACTTTTAGACCTCCAGTACCTATGTTAGATGAGATTTGGAAAGAGAAATACTTTTGTTCACTATAGTCACTCGCGAGATAGTTGAATTTTTCTTTTGTAAGGTCCTATATTTATTTGCTTTGTTTCCATAATTAGGATGAGCTATTAGTTCATATTGTATACTAGCCATCACCGAACTCTTAAGTTATGATACAGAACGTTCACCGCCATTTAAGAATTCATACTATGTCAAAATGTAAATCTGTTATTATGTTTATTCTTTTATTTTCTTATTACAAAGAATCATCAATATATTTATTAATATTTCTCTTTTCTATTTCTGTCAACTGTACATATAAAATACGAAAACAAACAAACAACGATAATTATATTATTTACATATTCATAATATGATTTATTTATGAGTACGATTTGGAGTCGGAATGGCTCGTTTGATAAATGGTCGTTTTCCCGATGGTGTCGTCTAACGAAAAAAACAGATACAACACTAATAGTTAATTATTACAAAACAAAGAAATTATACCATCATTGAAGATTTCAAACCCATAGTTGTATTTTCTACTACTAAACTATGTGTTGATGTATTTTCAGTCGTATTAACAATTTGATCGATAAGACGACGTTGTTTAACAGGTGTAACAATTGTTGATGGTGTTGCATCCATATTAATACGTTTTGTTGTTTGTAATTGTTTTTGTTGTGATCGTGTTTTCATTGTAGAATTATCTAATGGTGTTTTGCCTGTAGGTAAGTGTGGAATACCGACACGACGAGATGTGGTCAATGGTGTACGAATATTTGTACTTTGATCAGGCTAAAAAAATTTTCTTTTCTTTCAATAATTAAAAAAACCTTTATTATTTATTTCTTACGCGTTTTGATACAACACTTGGTGTTGTACCAGTAATTTGTTTTGTTTTTAATGGTGTGCGTCCGACAATTGTACCTGTGGATGTAATAAGTGCAGCCTAGAATCAATAATGTTCATGCAAAGCTTTTTCATAAATTAAGTTCTATTCTCTTTTTCATACAATAAAATTACAAATTAATTAAAATATACGTATATTTTATATGTAGCACAGAATTCCGAGAAAAAAAAATAACATAGAAAAGAAAATATTTAGAAAAGACATTTTGTTTTTTTTAATACTGGTATACAAAATGTAGTAGCACATTGATTATTTTCGTTGTTGTTAGTGTTTTCGTCATCACCAGGTACGGATTGTAAAGGAGCCGGACGAATGCGTATCATTGTATCCGTACATGCTTTTTTATTTGAAGCCGATGTCTATGTCGAAAGGATTCATTCGTAAGGAATATCCGTTGAAAGAAAAACAATAGACATCACAAAATGACATCGTCTATAATATTAACCTTAAACAACATTTGCTCGACTATCTATTATTAAGGACTGATGAATAAATTTTCGAAGTACAACAAATAAAGAAAAAATCAATCTGATTTGGAATCATTGGGCTCAATCACTTTGACTTCTCATGTGTATTTACGATCCATTCATTGGCTATATTTAGAAGATAGGCCATACGAACCGAGAGGAGCTTCGCTAATGATATAACTTAATAAGTGACGGATTGGATATTCGAATGACTTCACAGAAAGAGTTTCTTCTTAGCAAGTACTTTTCATTGATGCATTTATTAGTGAAGCACATAAAAAACATCTTCACTGATTTCTTTAAGGGTATTTGTCTCTCATTCTCGAATTTCTCAAGAACGACTTGACCACTAGAGCAATAGTTGTCTTAGACTGAAAATTTTCGAATACGCTTTTCTATAAGACATATGGCACCTAAGGGTAAAAAATAATCTGAAATTCCTCCTCCCGCACAAACAACCATAATTCATTTTTTATGACTGAATTTTTTTTTTTTTGTAACAACTAAAACCAAATTGGCCTGTATTTATTTTTTCTTTGTTTAGGAGAAATAAATTACTAAAAGTTCTGAAATAAAAAATATATACTCCGATTTGATCCTAGTGATAATACAAAAAATTTCAGCTCAATCGGTCGAAGCATCTGAGAGAAAACGTCATTCTTCCATTTGAAAATTGGTTTGGAGACAAATGCGAAACAATGTTGAGTTTTCGCTATTTCCGTTACTTAAATTTGAAGTTTCATGTATCTTGAAGCATATCGATGTCGTATTTGTTTTCTGTAACATTCTCTGTTATTGTCAAAATAGTATGAGGTAACATTATTTGCCCACAGTTTATTAGGATAAAAATATATAGAATTGAAATAAAAAAGTTTTGCAAGGGAAAAAGAAATCCTTAGAATTTTACTTGTTTTCTATTCGATTCAGATCCTGCAGATAGGTATTAATGAAACAAAAACTAAATGTGAACTTAATAATAATGATTCATTTTCCTGATATCTTCATGCTTATTAGAAGCTAATAATAAAAGATGGCTACATCTGTGTTAATAATCAAAGTTATGGACTTGACATCATTTGACAAATCACAGTAGAAACTAAAATGATACTAGTGTTGATAAACTACCTTATAAGCCTATTTTTCCTTCATAATTTAGTTGCTTAAATACTTTTGAATTCTCTATCGCTATTAAAATATTAATGAATGCTAGAGAATTTTAGCTACTTTGATTACTACCCAAAATAAAGTATGTATAGAAACAGACGTTTAATATAGTTTATCGATGTTAGTTTTGTAACATAATTCATCTAATAATGATAAATCCGTAGCTTATTAATTGTAAGTAGAGTCAAGAAGTTAAGGTCATTTTTTTTCGTACTTAAATGTTTGTTGTAGTAGATATGGGTGTTAGTATCTTTTATTAAATAGTGTTCATAGCTAATGAATGTATTCAAAATGAAATATTTTCTTATCTTACTTTTGCCGCTTCACGTTCTCGTTCTTTTGCTTTAGCATAATCTTCTTTTCGTTGTGTAATATAATCTGCGATTTCTTTTCCATTAGCATTCATTATAAATGGTTGTCCATTATTTTTCTCAATAAATTCATTAGCAAGTTTTTGAAGACGTAATTCACATTCTCGTAATGTTATTTCTAATTTTTTACGAGTTTTTTCTTCTGCAAGTGCACTATAACCACGACGATGAAAACGTTGTGGATCACTAGCATTTTTCTAATATAAATATGTATTTAATGAAATATACCAAAAAATAAAAAGAAAAAATTTTACTTCAAATTCTTGAAATTCAAGAAATAATTGATTCCATACTTCAATTTGTTCATACATTGATTTATTAACTTCATATTGAGCTTCTAATTCTTGCACAAGTTCTTCATGCATAAAATATACATCGTCTGTAAAATCATCTAAAATTTCAAAAACAAAATTATTTTTTGTTTTTCAATAAAAACTAATAATATTAATATTTACTATTATATAAAATAGCATATTTTGAATCATGAGTGACATCATTTACTGAAAGTTTATTAAGTATAACATGAATTCGTTCACGTGCTTTTAATATATCACTTGTTAATTTTTCCATTGCATGTTCCGTATATCGATCAACTTCCGCAATAAGCTACATCAAAAATTTGCTTTTATTTTTATATTCATATAAGAGCCACTCTACGTAAGCCATGATCGACTCCAATAGAAACTGCTCGATTCATGATTCCCGATTAGCTAGTTTTGTATATATGTTATAGAGAAAAGTATCTGATCAATTTCTATGCAAACCGATCAAAAAATATTGTTTCATTCTCGACCTATATAGATTTCGCTAAGGCAACCATGACCAAAAAAAAAACAATCATGGATGCACTGTTGATGAATTGATCAATATTACTAAGTATACAACAAAATTGTCATTTTTCGATGTTTTGTGCATACATATATATATTTTCGTGAATGAATCACATTAAAGAGTTACAATTTTGACTAGAGAGAAATCTCATTGAATAATCAATCTGGTAAAAATTTGAACATTCTAGATATTCCTGGTCCCTCAAGCAGCTTTCACCAAAATCTTTAATCAGAGTTATATGGTTTTAAATTACAAATTAAGTACTACAAACTCTTACAGGAATTAATCTGAAACATTGTAGAGTAACATGCAAAGCCTTATAAAAAAAGTAGTCCTAAAAAGGTTCATTTGTCAAACTTCATATAGTTAAATCGTTTAGAATTGAACAGAAAAAAATTTCTACATATGGAACAATTCTTTTATTCACTTTAAATCGGCATATGATTCTCTACTAATTGACATATCATTTCTTTGAAAATAACAGAAATTTATTTCGCATGTAGAAATTTTCCTCTTCATTTCTAAACGATTTCACTATATGAAAGATGAAAAAGGAGCCATTTTGAGAAACATCTGCAGGCTATAACTATAATGTCCAAGGCCAATTATTGCAGGACCTTGTAGTATTCAATGTGTAGTTTACAACTATACAACTCTGCCTTCTATAGACCCGCTTGTCTTCTAAATCGGTTCCTCCCAAGATTATAATTTTGGCAAATGCCTCCTGAGTGTCAAGAACTATCTAGAAGGCTGAAATACTCACCTGAATAAATAATCATTGATATTCGTCTGTGATTAAAATTTTAACTTTTCAACTCGATTCGCTCATGAAATATGTATGTGCACATGATAGGATTGATCAACTCATCAACAGTTAATGCATTCGAGCTCATTTTTTAATGGTAAGTACCTATATCTCAGCTGCATTCATGCGAAAGTTTCAAGCTAAACGACTGTGCCTAAGATGAAATATAGTTGTCACAAACATTGCAAAGACTATGCGTTTTCAGTAGAGATCGACGGTTTCAAAAATGACCTGGAACTCCGGTTCCGGGTAGTAAAAATGAGAAATAAAAACGGGTCCGGTTCCCAAAAAGTTATTTCGAACCGGTGGAAACCGTTAAATTACCAAAAGCATACGAAAAATTTGAGTTGCTACATTCCTGACGTTATAAGAACTATTATAGATATTTATTGAAAAACGTTTTTGTTCAAAACACGCTATGTAACAATGACTCAAGTTATCCTCAGAAACGGTTCCAGTTCGGTTCCGTTTTTTTTTTTGGAACCGCTGAACTCTAGTTTTCAGTGATAGTCATCTTAGAAAAGTCTCTACATCTCGAGAGCGAAACAACATTTTTTCGAACGGTTTGCATAAGAATTCATCAAACACTTTTCCCTATACACTTATATAAAAACTACCCAAATCGGCGACCATCAATTGAATAGGACCGGTCGTGGCTTATGTGGGATGGCTCATAATGAAAACTTACATCAGGTAATTTTGATATTCGACAATGGTTACTATTTGTAACTGCTACAGCTTTTTCATTAGGAATTAATGATTGATGTTTTCTCATTAATGTTAATAATTGTTTATGTGATTGTTCAAAACAAGCTTCAGCTTTTTGTACTTGATCAGTTATCTATTTGAAAATTTAAATTTGAAAACTTTCTATACAAAGAATTCTTACTTCAGCAAATTCTTTATCAACAAGTTCTAAAGCTTCTTTTGTTAGTGTATATTGATCAATTTGAGTTAGACCGAGTGATAATAAACGTCCAACCATTGTTTCAATTGTTGGTCTTTTCCATCCATAAACTTCTTCATATTCATGTAATGTTCGAATTACTTCAGATAAATGATTAATACGTTTTACCTAAAATACAATTTTTTTTTTTTCAAATAAAATTTCAACAAAGAAAACTCAAATACTTTTTCTTCACGTAATTCAGCAATATGTTCAGATAAGAGACTTATTTGTGTAACTAATTGTTTTGAATTAAAATTTGAATTATCGATTTGCAATGAACGTTCATTTAATTCATTACATAATTGTCTTTCTTCACGACGAATATCTGGTTCACGTTCAAGTAATTTTTCATGTTCTTCTTTTAATTTTTTATATTCATCAACATAAGTGCGTAAAGCTTGAAGAACAGGTAATGTATTTCCATATTGTGGACATGTTTTATCTGGATGTAGTTCATGATAAAGTGATTCAAAACGTGCACGAATTGGTGCTAGTTCACTACGTTTACGTTCGAGTAAAGCATCATCTTCAGCTATCATTTCAGTAACCATTTTCTAAATTACAATTTGTTTTTTGTTTATTAAATAGAAAAGAAAATTAAACTATAAATTATTACTTGAAGTTCACGTTTAGCTTCTTCAATAAGTGCACTTGGATCATCACCGGCATCAAGACACATTTTAACAATCGATGGAATATTTTTAGAATAAACTTCATTGACGATATCACCAGGTTGTCGAATTAATGATTCTGACATAATGAAAAAGTTAAATAATGTACACAATATGATTTCAATAGGGGATCAAAACAAATGAGAAAAAAGTTTTTATTTGATTGAACTAGAGAAATAATTTTGTACATATTATCATTGGTTGATTAAACAAAGAGCTCTAGATTTATTACAGATATACATAATTAAATGTTTCTTTATTTATTATCTATTTAAAAAAATGAACTTTTCTGACAACAAAATATTTCAGTTTTTGTAGAAAATAAAATAACCTTAACGAATAGATGACGCTTTGTACGACAATTCTTGTTCATGATTTCTTCTTTATCAAATCACAAATTACAGATTGTACCAAGAGAAAACAAAATATATGAAGCCCTGGATACGTCTAATGTACGTCCTGGTTTCTTATTGTAGTGGCCACTTTTTATTTATATCAATGTGAATAAAAGATAAGTGTATAGCACGATGTTTTTGGAACAATTTTATTACTGAATTGATATTCATTTTTCGCACTTCTACTGATATCCTTATCCTATCCTATCTTTGAGATAGATAAATAGATGCTTGTTTATTCAACTTTTGTATTACTTCGTTAATGAAACTTTTTATTTTTTTTATCTGAAATGAGTAAACCTTCAATAAAATTTAATAAATTGTGAAGTGAAAATGGAGTTGCTGGAAGTGATCTAACGTAAGTCAAAATGAGTAATTTCAATAGATTCGATCTAAAGATAATGATTCTGTAATGATCATTTAGTTATGCATAGTGAACAAGAAAAACATTTTCTTAGTCGTCTTACATCTTAATCAAATAACAAAATCTTTAGTTTTCTTATATTTCTACTGAAATAGAATGTTCGAAACTTTTTTCTCAAATATTTTCTTGTTCGTTTCGAATTACGAAGTAATTGTATGTACACTTGTCGTTTATTGAACCTTATACATTGTTTTACACTCCATAACTAACTTCAATCCATGTACTTTATTTGCGAAAATCAAATGTACATGTATATTTTGCACGGTTAACAAAGTCTACGAAAATATGTTTTTTTCGCAGTTTCATTCGAAACATGCATTTGGACATTTGCTCATATTTTTTTCTAATTTTCAATCGGTATCAAACTTGTTTGAAACAGTCGGTGAATTTTATGATCTATTGAAAAACAAATGTATATATATATATGTATATTTGTACTCATATGGTGATTAGATTGTATGTGATGCTATCACTATCATCAGTTTCTGTAGAAATTTTTCTTTAGATTGTTTTATTGTATAAGTTTGAATTTTTCTTCGTCATGATAACGAGTGAACCGAAAGTTGGAAGGCAATAAGTTTATTTATTTCTGACTGCCTTGACAGTGTTTCCGATGAGTCAGAAGCAATGAGCTATAACCAGAAGTAAGTGTTCTTTTCAAAATAGGCTTAAACGTTTTCTTGAGACTAATGAGATAATCTTGTGAAAAGACCTGAAAAATAGATTCGACGAAACATTTTTCTGTACACTTTTCTACTTTCACTATTGCGACTCGAACATAAATGTCGACACATTTATTAACAATATAAGCTTGTAGATTAGAATCTATCCTCCTAAATACACTATTGAAGTTTTTCGACGGATCACTTCAATTTTAATTTCTCTTAAATCCTCATTCTTTTTGAAAAATCGATTTGTTGACCAAAAGACATTTTGTATAGAAAGAAGCTCTTATCAAAATGTTTATAGTTTCATTTAGGTAAAGCCATAGCTTAATTCAATATATAATTTTGTATAGAAGTGTCTACTCGACAAAATCGACTGGAATATTTTTTATATCTTCGAAAAGAAATTTGTAGGAGTGAGCAAAAACTTATTGATTCACCATTGAATTTAAATTTTTGAACTTTGAAAAAATGTCTTCATTAGTCTCGAACAAAAACTGAAATAAATTTGCTAAGACCATATTCGAAAAGTAAACAATATGCTGCTATTAACACATAGCTTTCGACTTCTTGGAAACATTTTCAAAGAAGTCAAAAGCAAAAAAAAACTTTGTCTCAAAACTTTCGTCCCATCCGTTATATTTTGCCTGTGTCATCAAAGATAGTTTTCGCAAAAAGTGAAAACCTATACTAGGACAATCTTTTTATATCAACCATCATACGACTAATTGATCGACATAAGCCATTGACAAAATATTATGATCAAGTCTTTTTTGTTGATTCGACCAAATATACGAATATATTATATACACGATGGTTTTCATCTTACTGATATTAATCATTTTATTACTTGAGAAAACTAAGTATCAGTATTAATCTCCATCAGATAGCTTGATAAAATAAACAACAGCTATAGACACATGATAGTAAATACCAATCTGATTCAATTATTCAATTTGCTATTGTATAAAAGACATAAATTAAGTTTTAAATTTGTTTTGTTAATATTTTTACAAGCTTTATTTCGAAAATAACATATAACAAGGAATCTTTAAAACAAAAATATAAAAAAATCATCGAATATAAATATTATATACGGTTAAATAAATTTAACAAAACGCGAGCCAGCTATTAATAGATTCACTTGATATTATATATATTTGTTTTTTCCATTTAAACATTATGTCAAAAGAATATGTTAGTCATACAACTGATTTGTATATAACTATAGCGATGAGTCAATACATATTCTAAATAGCGATATAAATTATGAAAAAATGACTTCAACAATATGTAAACATACCCTCTTGTCTCGTATGAATGTCATTGATAATATCAACAACAAGGTATTTTATTAAAACGTTCACAAACCAATACAATAATTAGAATAAGGATAATTAATGCAACGCCAGAAACTAGTACTGCTCCATTGATGTTTTCATTATTTAATTGCCAAAGCGAAAAAAAGCTAAATACACGACGACTATCAGATACCATTTTTGTTAGCAACTAAAAATAGCTTTGTATTTGCTATATGTTGGCGTCTGTTTGTTTACTAAATGGTCGTACTTCTTTCTACGAAATGGTTCTTTTATTAGACTTGATGAAAAGTTTATGGATATCCCAAGAGAGACATCAACTCTAAGATGTCATGTATAGTGTAGATAATATACCAGATAAAAACATAATAGATATTTCCGAAAAATTTAAATTTTTAAAATATCTTTATTGAAACTTTCGATCGATCAAACAAGAAAAGCATACGATTATATCAATCAGTGATAGAAATTTTATTTTTTTGAAATAAAATGGTAATTATCACATATATATTATTCAATATTTAATAAAAAATACAAAACAAAATATATCATTCACTTTTTTCATGTACTTTTATCTTTTTTGTTTCATTCTTGATCATATCCGAATTGTCATGAGTAGTTTTTTCTATTTGAACATCAGAACCATCTGTTTCAGTAATAGTTCCATCTTTATGTATGATAGTTTTAATCAGACGATATGTAAGACTAACACGTCGTTCACATGGACGTTGTGTTTTAACAATAGAGTGTTTCCAAATTGAATTTGTTTTCCATCCAAGAACAAAAAATGAACCTGATTTCAAAAGAATATCTTCTGTGACCTTGCTTTCATTATGTTTTAAACGTAAAATTCGTTCGCCACCAAATGAAAGTACTAATACATTAGAATCGTTTACAAAATCACGAGTTTTATCAAAATGATATCCAATATGATCATTATTATCTGTCGATAAGAAGATAAGTCTATTGCGAACGATCTAATAAAATTTATAATTACCTCGATATTGATTAACAACACAATGATTACATCGTTGACTGGTTATTTGAAATATCATGTCTCGCAATCTTTTAAGTACAGGTGGCCATGTTTTTACCTCTGGATAAATAATATCTTTTTGTGATTCATATCGGAAGATTGGATCTATTTATCAATAGAGTAAAATTATAAAAATAATTAATTTAAATACTTACAACTACCATCTGAATAAACATCACCATAAAAAGCCTTATCACGTGGTAAAATATTAACAGTATTAAAAATCTTAAATTTAAATTGTTCACGAGGCAAATAAACAATTTGCTCATCAAGTTGTTTTAGAATTTCAATTGATTCATTTGGAGAAAATAATGCTTCTTCATACCGACTATCTCCTTCTCCGAATAGTTTCGGTTGGCAATGAACATGATGTTTTACATCAATTTGACAATCATTATCAGTAGACCATGATTCTTTCTTACGTTTAAGCGCTTTAGATGATGATACTGACATGATAAATTTTGAATGATGAAATTGCACAAAAGAAAATAAGTATTATATAAATTTGATGTAGAATTGTGAAATACTCTCGGATAAGGCAGAAGAAAAAAAAATTTCTTAAGTAAATATGAGTCACGATAGGGTCAGAGGGCAGTAGTTATTTTACAGTATTGTTTTTATAAAAGATAGTCTACTATTAATAAAATACTATTTTGATTTGTTGTCTTCGATTGAATGAATACTGAAATTTCTTTTTTTTTCATAAATTACTTCTTCTATATTTTCTAGTTGATAAGAGCATCTTGTTTTTCTATGTATTGATGATTGCCCTTCTATTCTTTTATATCACCTTGTTGTTGTGTTTATATACAAAATCAGTAACATTTATGTCATTTTATAACGATTGCTACAAAAAAGCAGTGAACTGTGACGCTCATAGACGCAAATTACATCGTTAAACTAAGTAGAAAAAAGGTGTCATTTCTTTTCATTTTTGACCAGTGTGTCAATAGTGTCACCAGACGAATAAAAATGGTCGATAACTCAATTGGGATGATGCATCGTGAGCGGAACTCAACTAAAAGTAATGTTAATGATCACAATGATGATTTAAGTAATATTTATTCATCACATCCGCGTTTACTTTTACAAAAAACATCAGATTATAGTAGTGGTAACCGACAACATCAAAGTTTACCTCAAAAATCAATAAATCCGTATAGTGATTTACCATTATTAAGTCGTCTACGTGCTTCAAAGTCATTATCTCATAGTACAAATGTAGATGCATCTTATGACACCGATGGAGCACTGACAAGATCTAGAAATATATCAAAACATCATCGTGATAGTAGTAATAATTATGAATTTTTGGCATCACCAAGACTGTCTGTACGATCATCAATGAAGGAATCGTCAAAACAAGTGTCAGTTGTTCCCCTTCAACATCGATTATCAGACAAAGTTCGTCTTACTGCTCATGCATCCCTTCCTAACACACAAAATGATGATGATGATAGAGATGGAGCTTTAAACTATGACAATGATAGACGCCGTCGACATATTCGTCTTAGTCGTCGTGTTCATCACTCATCTATTCCTAGTGGATATCATGGAGCAAATGGTAGACCGCTTGCTGCTACACCTTCAGTGAGACCATTAAGAATCATTTTTGTTCGTCATGGTGAACGAGCCAATCAAGCACTTGGTTCAAATTGGTTTAATAAAGCTTTTCGTACACGTACATATAAATCTTACGATCCAAATTTGCCAATTATTTTGCCCAAAAGACGTTTTAATCAAGCGTATGAATTTGATGTACCATTAACAGGTTAAAAAATTTATTTTCTATTATTTTGAAATTTAACAACTAATATTATTTATTGTAGTTCGTGGTTTAAAAACTGCTCGTCTTACAGGACATATTCTAATGAATTATAATGTCGTAGTTGATGTCTGTCTTTCATCAACAGCTCTTCGTTGTATACAAACATGTGAACGTATTCTAACAGGTATATTAGAATATCATTTGTATATCTCTATAAAATATTTCTTTAAATTTCTACATATAGGTATGGAACGTCGTGATCGTATTCCAATTCGTATTGAACCTGGCCTATTCGAATGTCCTCATTTTCATCACAAACTAGTCGATAGTTTTATGACAAAAAAAGAATTAATTGCAAATAGTTATAATATCAAGCGTGAATATAAACCAATAATTCCAAAAGTAACTGCACCAGAAACATTAGATGAATATTTTGAAAGAAGTGCTACGGTTATGCGTGGAATTATTAATAGATATGGTATGTATGGTGGTACAATACTTATTGTTACACATGCACCAGGTTTATTAGCTTTGACCAATGCAATAAAAGGATTAAAACCAAATACGGAAACATTTTATCGTACTGTATCAACATACTCACCATTAGCAATGTGTCTTGCTGAATATGATGGATCAAAATGGAACTATTCGGATCAACCGTTTAATCCTATTTCGAATGGGCAATAATAACAATAATATTTAATGAACTAAAAGAAAGAAATTAGTATCTACATATATTTTTTTTTTTTTTTCTATAAAAGAAATTATTTTATCTTTGATTAAGACTTCATTTCTGAATTATTTTATTAATATATTGATAGTGACATTGCGTCGTTAATTCTATAACTTTGAAGATATTTATATTGATAATGGATTGAGTGATTTACTCAATAATAAATATGATTTATTTTAGATATTCATTTCTTTTTCTCGGAAGTTTACAATGAGTAATATAAACAAACTATGAAGTGACATGGATCAAAAAGAATGTTCTTGAATTAATTAATCTTATGCTAAAAAGTAAAAAGAAATATGAATATATTTTCATGATAATAACAAAATAATAGTTTTATTAGTTAAACTTTCACTGTAAACAAGCGGAAGACAGAGTTATGGTATAATTTTAATTGATAACTTTTCTTTATCGATCGTGAAACTAGGTTTTTTTTTTTTTCTCTATTTTCGATTCAATCTGAAAACAGATCATATCTTTTCTATCAACTTAGAGATTCGTTTTAATCTACAGATGTCATACTAAGCAAACTATTTATTGGATTTTTCCATTGCTCAATCAATTTATTGCATGATTCATACTGTTGACTTTCTCAAGAAAAAAAAAATGTTTCCTAAAAATCGAAAATTAACTAACTCTAATAATATCAAAACAATTATCAAACATTTTTCAAAAGAATTAAAATAAACTATTAAAATTAAATGTATTCTATATATTGTTTTAGATCAAATGACTGATCAACGTTTTAAATACTATACTGGTTATGAAGTTGATAACGAACCAAGTGATGATGAAGATGATATTCCTTGCAGTACCGCAATAACTCAGGGTGATGTTAACTCTGGCAGGTAAATGAGTTTCAATAATTCATCAAATTTTTATTTTAAAAACAAACAATCTGCGTAATATTTATTTAGTTCTGATGATGAATTTGATCGACCACTACGTGAATATATCGAAAAGACAATGGCTCAAACAACAAAAAATAAAAATTCATCATCAACATCTACTGGTTCAAATACTTTTGCTAATGAAATGGAAGATCAATTAGATCAAATTTATCATAATTTTATTTCACGTGGAACATTTGATTTACCAATATCTAGTAAGTTTTCTATTTTTATTTTATTTTCATGAAGTATATCTTTCTTTTTTTTTGTTATTTAGCTCAGAAAACACAACAACCAAAGAAAATAGTAATTAATGAACAAGATGAAGATGATAGTGATGATGAAAACGATGAAAAAAGTAAGAAATTTATTTTATCAAATGACTTTTTTTTTTTAATGTCAAACAAAAAAATCTTCTAGATCAATCAGTAGTGAATAAAGATGATCAAGAAAAGATTAATGATGATCTTCTTTATGATCCCGACGAAGAAGAAGAAGACGAAAAATGGATGACAAACGAACGTCTCAAGTATATAAATTTTTATTTTCTCTTTAGTTTTGTTTAAAAATTGTTTCATTTAGATCTCGAGGAGCGAAAAACTCAGAAAAATTAGATGCATCATCACTTGGACCAACTGATGCAGTTCTCAATTGTCCAGGTTGTATGGTATTAGTTTGTCACGATTGTCAAAGGTAATTTAAAAGACTTCTAATTATTCTTTCTAATCTTCAATGCTTTTTTTTGAATAGACATGAAACAAATCGAAATCAATATCGAGCAATGTTTGTCTTTAATTGTACAATTGATGAAAATCGTATTGCTCGTGTATCAATGGTTAACAATCAAAGATCATTAAAACAAAAGAAAAAGAATAGTAATAAACGATTTAAAACAGATGATTCTGATTCTGTAAATGATAAAGAAGAACAAGAAATTAAAGACGATATATTAAGACCTGTTTTATGTAGTGAATGTGGAACAGAATTAGGTGTTTATGAACCGAAAGAAGAATTGTATCATTTTGCTAATGTACTTGCTAGCCATTAAATTATTTATTTGTTGTTGTTAATATACACTCGCGAATAAAAAACAAGCATTTTTTTTCACATATATCAAGTGCTACCTATGAATGATGAATATAATAGCTAATTTTCTTTGTATGAGAATGTCAGTCATTATAGTAAAATATTTTTGTTTTCGAATACAACTGAGAAACGATAAGACTGTCTATGCAATTTTCTTTTTGGAAATGTAATATGTATATTTTGTGAGCAAAGGGCTTGTATCGCAATAAAGATATCAACAGAGAACCTATCGAGTAACAACTATTTAACGTTTAAATATGATCATACAAGTTAGTTTACTATCAACAAAAGTCTTATAAGACTATTGTTATTCGACTATATCCAAGAGAATAACGAACTATATGAAAAAGGTAAAATAAAGATATTTTGTTTTGTTTAATAATTGTGGTAAAATAACGCAAACATAGAGTGGCTAGTAGATTTCTATTGTACGATACTCTCTACGTTATATTCAATGAAATAATGAAATGATTCAACTTTCCATCTATTAATATATTAATTTGGTCTATTTTTATTTCAGTTTGTAGTTATCAGGGTTGGTCAAGTCAAGACACTTTTCGAGTTGAGTTAAATTTCAGTCAAGATATTTTTGCTATTTTTTCGTTTTCTGTCTATTTTTATAAAGAACATTGACCACATGCTTTTTATGACACGTTACCTTCTTCCTAGTTTTTATGCACAAAAAAACAAAACAAGAACGGTAAAATCAATTGTCTCTTCTATATAATTACTTGCAAAATCTATATCTTGTGAATAACTGATTTGATTGCGTTGAAACTGTCAGTATATTCCTAACTCAAATGTATATATCTACTGTAGAAATATCAGCCAAATCGATGAGATTGATTGAGCAATCTTCTGCTAAAGGTGGTCATGGTTTAGGTGAGGTGACCCTCTTAGGAGACTAATTCCGTAATATATTCACGATTAGGTCCCGTTTCGTCGAAAGCTTATTTTTCTTTCATTTCTGTCTCGCCGAAAATGAAAGAATGACTGTTCACCCCGTTTCGTCGAAAAAATAAAATTTGCTTAATAAACGAAGAACAGATTATATCATTTAATAAGATTTTTCGTCATGCTAATTAGAAATAGTGTCTAACCACTTGTAAATCAGTTTATTAAAAACATATTATAGAGCAGATTTAGATACATAAATAATAAATTATTACGAGAAAATATGAATATAGAAAAGAAAAAAACCCAACAATTTTTTTTTATTCCAGTTAGTTCC